ACGAACCCGATGCTCGGATGTGGGCGAATGCCGACTACTAGTGCCAACAAGCGAAAGTAAAAAGATACATGTGTTTCCTGATTCCTTCCCAGATCCGGGCAAGAGGTTTGCGCATGTAAACATCAATATTACTGAACTAGTTCCCCATGAGTGAGATACTATTATTATTATCTGTTGACCTGCTTCGATCGCTTCACACGTTGGTGCGAGGCATTCAGTACGTTAGACATCAGTGATTGACGCACAGAGAACACCTTTATACCTCGTATTGATGCTCCTGCTGTCATCACCACTGACAGGTCGCCAGTTTGAGATCAAATTATTTCGATAACGATCGAATCTTTTAAGCTGTAAATGAGTTTGTATTGCATCGTATTATCCAGGGGCGAACGGCATGGCGGAAAGATTTTACCGTAGTGTGAAATCAGATTTAACGACAGCAATAAACCAGCTGGCTGGAGTACTCTGTCACAGTACTCCTGGGACTACGCACAACATTGGAAACTGAAACTGGGCCAATACTTTTTGGAAAGACCACAAAAGGTTTTAGATATTTCAGACAAACCTCTCATCTACGGAGCCCCCCCCCCTCCCATCAACAGACTTTGGATGCAACGGACAAAATCTGGAGGCAAAATAAAAAAATTCATGCAGGAAAAAACTTCCTAATCGTCAGCAATGTATCTCAAAATATGCGGGCTTCGCGGAACGAGTCGTATTAGTTCTCAAAGTGACCGCTTAGCGGCAGTGGCGGTCCTTTCAATTGTAAATAAAGACGGGTGTACAGTATATAAAGTACGATACATTAGCGTGTGCGTGAGAAAGTAGCTGTAAGAAATCTATTATTTTTGTTATTTTGATTAATACATCTATTAAGTATATATTTATTTATGCCATATATACATGTTTATAGTATTTACATTATGGTCATAACTACTGGTAGCTACTATAGTCGTTTTATAACTCAAAAATAATCCCTTCTCATCTACGGACAACCCACCCTAGCTATTAGTCCGTTGATGAGAGGTTTCTTTGTATTTCTTTTGTAGACGGACATACAGTCAGTATATACAATTTGACATATAAACCATCAACCGAAAATCTGATATCAGATCACACTCCAACACTATTACAGTTGTGTATTCATGATTTCGTACAACACGCAATTAGAATACATTCTCTGTCACCTTTGATCTACTGCAGAAAGAAATGGCAACCTACTGCGGGGAAAAATCTGTCTCGTCAGTCATGTATCGAAAGATAAATGATTGTCTAAGCTTGTATCCCGCATGGCACATAACTGACATAACTCCAATCATTTCATTGGACAGGCTAAACTCTCCCTTTTTGGACGTTCCATTTTTTTCAATAGACACTCTGGAAATATTTTCATTGGACGTTCCTAAACAGGTTATAACAAGATCTAATATTAAATGGTTTAAACGTTCATTACTTTAACTCATTCTCTTTCACAGTTTAATTAAATAAACCATGTTCTTTGTTTTGCAGATACAGGGTGTAATGGATAAATTGTCGCCATTTTACATTTTTAATTTCGTACATACGCGTTGTTTTTAATTTTGTTGACTGCCCAGTATAGTAGAGTTAGTTGGGCACCATCTGTGAGAAAAAGAGCACCATGACGCAATTCACTTCGCCAGAAATTTGGAAACGATATTCTGTACTGCCAGAAGCTTCAATACGAAAATTTCAGTGTGTTTGGGTGTCAATCTGAGAATTCAGAAAGAGTTTGGAGTGATCACTAGCAATAGCAACGTTGTGCCTCCATTCATCTTTCCACAGGACCTCAGACTGAATACAGAGGTCTACATCAAGTGCCTTGAGGAGGTAGTGCTTCCCTGGGTCAAGAGGGTAGCAATATACACACAAATTTGCCTGTGTTCTTCATGCTCCTCCTGCATTCTGCTTCAAAAGACATATTCTAGAACCTGTTTAGGGAGAAGGTACTGAAATACTATACAAAATAGTTATCTACCATTACATATAAAGTGACACTCTGGACAAGAAGACAAAATAAAGCTGATCACATTACATTCCAACTAGGAAGACAACTAAGTGGAAATGTCTTTCCTTATCTTTCACATATCAGCTCCACATGACTAACATTGATAAATATTGTGGCATTCAAATAAGAGGCTTTTTCTTTCCTTTATCAGCATTTCTCCTTGTTTATTATTGTCAGTGTGTGATAATTTACTTGGTATTATGGGCAACTTAGCTTTTAATATCTCCTTCTAAGATTCTTTCTCATAATTATATATAAATGTTGTATCGCACATGTGTCATGGAGTCTGCTTCTCTCTTCATGCCAGTCTATCTCAGTGATGGCTGAAATACCAATTCTCATCCAATCACTAAAGTTAAGCAATATCAAGCCTGGTCAATACCTAGATGCGTGACAGCTTGGGAATACTAGGTGCCGTATGCTTGGATGTGCAGGTAGTGTAATAGATGTCAGCTCAGAATGAGAAATTAGAAAGCAGAGTTTCAATTCTAGTCGTTATATTCACTTATGTGCAAATACTCTTCAGAAAGGTATGAATCCACCTCTTATCCCCCAGCTATGAGTTAAATAGTAGGACTTGTATCAGAAACCATTATTATCTCCCCCCGCCCAATTCTTACAATCTAAAAATATTTGCTGGCTTTAAATAATCTGTAAAAGTTGATAAGCCATAAAAACAAATCAATCAATATTTTTGTTGTTGTTTGTTGATCATTTCACTACAAGCAAGGCAATAAAGCTACTAAGACACAAGGGGGTTACTGAATGTTAGAGAATATAAGAAAAAAAAACACTATTAAGGAGAGAGAACAAGAACAAGAATTAAGAAGACAGAACATTATGATCGACATTGCATTTAAATTTTTGAAAATAGAAGTTTACTGAGTAGCAAGAAACCAGAAGAGAGTTCCACAAGTGAGAAGTATGATAGAAGAAACTGTTAGAGTAGAACTTACAGTTACGTCTAGCCATTTCATCTGTAAAAAGTTGAAACCTTGCTTCCAATCTAGTAATGCACTTAAATTTATAAAGTCTAGATACCATCGAAAGTACCTAAACTTTTTAGTGTAATTCAACCAACTAATGCAAGCTAAGATTTATTCCTTTTCCACATTTATAACAGTGTCATGAGTACCATAATTTATAAGGGTTGTGAGGACATCATATGTACTACAAACATAGCTGTGTGTTTAGGGCTAGTTAACCTGACGGAGCCTATTCTTCTTCAGGCTGGTTTTGAATTTGGTTTTCCTTCTCTTAGACTGATTACAACCTCTAGGCCTAATCAGCTCTTTTATTTCCCATAGTTGGAGGGGGAAGAGATAAATTCACACCTTTCACAAGGATATTTATGCATAAGAAAATGTAACAAACTCAGCCAAAATTTGAACTCAACTCGCTGATTTCTTTTTTCCAAGCCACTAACAGCTATACTACCCACAAATCATGTTCAAAGGAAATAGAATAGGAGGATCGTATTGTGAAAATCTTCCAGATTCGGATGTCTGCCTACCTGTTTTGAAAATCTACATTCAAAATCATGTTTTTAACCTGTACTCTACGATTGACTTCTAGTACCAATTATTTTGGTTGTTTGATTTTGTTTAGCAGCATATCAACCTCTATGGGTTATTTAATGCCAAAATCTAAATATTTTGTACCTTATTTTATATTTTCAGGGTAAAAGGTATGTTTTCTAGATATACAGTTTGTAGATCATAAAATGTATTGCTGGTAATTTCACTACAAAAATGTAGTATTGTTGGTAATTTTTTTATAAATTATGTTTTGCTTGTATATTTAAAAGTTTTTAGGGTTGCATTGATTGCCATTTTGCTATAAAACTGAACTGTTCGTCATTTTACTATAAAAATGATCTGTTGATTTTTGTTTGTGGGTTCACTATTTGTCCATAGCTGGAACCCTAACAGGATGGGCCTGGGAATAACAGCAGTTAAGAGGTGTTTCCATGCTTCTCAAAACCTCCAATCTCCTGATCAGAGCCCTTGTTGCTGGGTGTAGTTTACCTAAGACGAAGTACCAATGGAAAATACACAACTATTTAATCCACCAAGAGAGAGTTTCATCATTGCTATTTGTATGGCACATTAGTATATCACAAAATCAAATTGAAATTGCCCTGAAAATCTACATTCAAAATCTTGGATTTTATACTTGACACAGTTGGGGAGGGGGAATGCTTAGCAATTGCCTAACCAAAGTGAGACTGATATTTACTAAGCTAAGCTTAGCATCCACAAGAAAAAATTGGGGAAATGAAGATAGAAAGATTATGCTGTGCCAGTCTTTCAAATGGAGAGGGCTTGCTTGCTTGTCTAGTTTGAAAATCAGCCTTCAGTATCCTGGCTTTTATCTGAGATTGAACAAAAATCATTGGCACTGGTGAAAAATATCTTGTTCCTCATTTAGTCTAAAATAATTATTTATTATGGCTCTTACAATAACAATATAGATTGAAAATAAAGAAATAACGTTTGTTTTATCTGTAATCTTCTTAATGGTTGTAAAATGTAAAACAACTTGAGTGCTGCAATAAAAAACAGCAATTAAAAAACTTATAGCATTGCTGATAGGATCAGATGTCAACTTCTCCAATTGTTTGGGGTATGCCATAACAGAAATTTTCATTATAGCTTCACAACTTGCCAAAGCTAGAAAGAGGTCAATTATTTAATTTGCAATTTTTTAGACCTAGCCTGGGCTGCAAAACATCAGATCCAAGTCTCAACAAATTCTGGTTCATACCCCAAACAATTGGAGAAGTTGACTACTGATTATGTTTCATAGAACAACACGATACAACAAAACTAAAAATTAATGGTAAGAATGCTTTTAAGAAATTCAGAAAATAAAAATTATTAATGCTTAGTCATTTTGAAAAGCTGAGCAATTTGGAATAATTTTGATTTTGTTGCCTTCTCATAACATTATTTTTTATGAATTCTTCTTTCAGATGATTGCCCACTTCCAAAAGTAGATGCAAATTCCTATTCTGAAGTGAATGGAAGTGTGGTAACTTACCATTGTAAGGGTGGCTTCAGATTTTATGGTAAAACCAGGAATTCCACTTGCACAAACGGTTCATGGGAAACAATTAAGTTTTCTTGTATAGGTAAGTTTGAATTTTTCTTTTCAATTTTAGACTTGGAAAATCAAAGGCATCCATCCAAACATACACCAAAGAAAAACAGTTTCAGTTTCTCAACATTAAACTATTAAAATACATAGAAAACATCCTTTTCTTAAAGCAAAATTTGATTAGGAACAAATGAAAAGTCACTGGATTTTTTGTACAACTATACACTAAAGTTTTAAAAACTAGTTGATTTAAGCAAAACCTAAGTGTTGTTAGAGTAAAAACAAAACCCAAATTCCAAATTTAATGAAACATCCCCTGTTCTAGATCATTGCAGTACTATGAGATGTATGACATGCTAGAGCCACTTGATGTGGGCTGATACTAGGATCATCTATGACAGCTTGTAGAATATGTTCATCATGGTTAGGCGTACAATCAGATCTTGGTCTTCCTTGATCCATAGTTTGTGGTGTCACAGATCCTGTTTCAGCAAAGCCACAATAAATGGCAGCAATGATTGGCTGATTTGGCTGCCTTCTGTTTGGTAACACACAATCTCATGCAGCTATGCAGCCTTGCTTCCATTACCATTCACACAGTCATATGTAAAAATGATACCTGTCTGCTCATGATATAAGTATCCTGTCATTGTTAAATGGAACACTTCTCAGTTAACTCACTATTACCATATGTTAAACATTGAAGGCAGACTAACCACAGATGTGCATGAGTGACAAATCTAACTTAGTCTTCATGTCAACACAGTGCCATCTACTGTAAACTTTCTTTAAACTTAACTTAAAAATGAAGGATTCATGGACATATCTCCTTGTTTTAATGTAAGGAAGCCACCCCAAAAGTTTGTAAAAGTATTTTTGATACACCCTGTAAATGTACTGAATGTTTAGCATTATCTATGTATGTGCACTCATATTGTATATCAAATGTTTTCATCTTTAACTTACTTTTATAATTCATTTCTTTGTGTTATTCTAGTCCTTCCTTCAATTTGTTCAAGGTGTTAGTATATCACAGATATATTTATGCCTAAAGTGGACATTGGAGAGTAGAGAAAACCAAAAGATTTCATCTTTTTTTCCAAGCACCCCATTACGGTTTTCATTTTCTAAGTCAGTCGCTCAGCCATTTTATTATTAGTAAGAAGATAATTGACAAGTTTTAAATTTTATACAATTTGTTATCACTAGTTCAGTACCTATTACTTTGTTGATTACAAGGACATATTTAAAATTTTAAAATTGTCTGTCCATTTAAAATACTACAATTATTAGAAAAATATTCAGTTTAAATACAAGAGTCATAAAAATTACTTCAATGGGCCATATATTTTTACTTATACTCTTTTCCTGTTATCCAGGGTTTATTGCCAAACAGAAAAGGAAATTAGTTCTCACGACACAGATGTCCATTTCAATTTCATTAAAATTTTGTGCATGTATAAAAGTTTGCATATGCACATGTAAATATTAATTTAATGCAAATCTAAAAATATTTCTACAAAATTAAAAAAAAAAAAAAACTTTAAAAAATAATTCTATTTATTATTGAATGATTTCTGAAAATTCAATAAAATTGTATGATTATCTGATTTTTTGTCTTTAAGGTTAAAAAAATTAATATTTTTTTCCAACTTTAAGATTTTATTTCTCAGCCCAGTGTAGACAACATAGCAGGGGAACATATTATTCCGATGTTTTATTTCAAACTTAGTCAAATTTTGTGTGCGTGTGTGTCTGTGTGTATGCAGGTGTGTTGGCCAAATTACACTAGCACATGTAAGTCATGCACAGTCCATATATTTGTATATACATTAGATATGTGCATTCAAAGACAAACACAGAGAGTGTGTGATGGTCAGAACCAGCTCTTCTTTTATAATATAGATTCAGAATGATAATAATAAACTTACATCAAAGACGGCTAAGATCGTCTTTAGAATGTTCAGTTCGACTGTCTCAAAATGCCTCTCAGAATGCTTCTATCAGAGCCACTGAGTCTGAAGATCAATGTAGCCATTGGCTTTCCAGAAGAGCATAAACTGAACACTTTTGTGCACGAGGCTGAAAATGATGATCAAAGGACTCAGCGGCTGAGGAGAAACACCTCTTTAACTGCTGCTGCACGTGAGGCTGAAACAAGATTGAGAACGCAAAAACGGCCCTTTTCAGCCCCCCCCCCCTTTCAAATTGTTACACCCAGTTGCACCCAGTTGTTGTTACTAATATTGATTTTCAGGTGGGATGAATTTAAACTTCAACTGCTCCAATTGAATGGCAAAAATTTCCAGTAATGAATCACCCTGTTGAAGATGGGTTATACCGCTAGTGATAATAATAAGCTTATCTTACATCAAAGACGGTTAAGCTATATTGGTTTGAGTATCTGGTATTTTTTCTTCTTTTACTTTTTTTTTCTGACACTTCATTGATCTAACATAATCAACACACAACAAAAGTGCTGATGGCTGACTTGTATAACCAAAAGAGATTATTATTTAGATTACTTACATTTAGACTAATGACATCATCTTTGTAATTACTGCCTAAACATTTCAGTCATCTTCAGGGCAATTTTCAGTCATCTTGAGAACAATCTACCCTATAGATTAAATAAAGGGTTCAGTTTGAAATTTTTTGAAGGTCACCTGGATCAACAGACTTCTGTAGAAGGCTGGAGAGTACAACAGCTGAAACATTGTCATAATAACAGAAAAAGAAAACATTAGCCCGAATGTAAATCATTTAAATAACTCATTATTCTAAAAATTCAGATAGAAAAGAGATCATGTTTTATTTTTGACAACCATTTTTTTTTTTTTGCAGAATGAGTTTATAAGACAGTATCTCACACACAAAAGTGTTTAAGCATGATTATTTATATCTAGATTGTGTTTTGCAGTCAATGTCTCATCTTAACCTTTTTATTAATTAATCTTTTAATGCTTTTTTATTTTCAGATGTGTTTCTTAATAATTGTATTAATTTGAAGCTATTGAAAAATATCCTTGATTTTTCAGAAACCTGTGGTTCTCCACCAAAAATTCCAAATGCTAATCTTATTAATTCAAAAGAAGATTCAGCAATTTATAAGTGCGACCTGAATTTCAGCACAAATTCAAACCGAAGTACCAATTTTGATATCAAGCTCAATTGCAATGAAAGTCAATGGGAGATTCCAAACATTACATGTCTGAGTAAGTTTGCCAAAATCCATATTGGAATTTAATTTATTTTTTTTTAATCATTTCACCCCAAGCAGGGCAATAATGCCACTAAGATGCAAGTAGTTGCTGGGAGCAAAAGAAAATGAGAAGACATTAGTAAGGAGTAAGGACAATAAAAGAACAGGTTTCAGGAAGATGATTGACATGGCATTTAAACTTCAACCATTAAAAGACAAGCTTCTCACTATTCTATCACTATTTCCAAAGGAAATATTCTGATAAGCTACATCCTTAACTCCACTAGTTCTGCCCTTTACTGCTAAAACCTACTATGCTTCATACATTGGAATGTATCATTCACATTCTCTTCAAATTCCATTAGTAAGAGCAAATTCCATCTGAACAGCTTCTTTCCAAGAACCACTACTTTATAGGACAGACTCCCCAGAGGATGCTTCTCGAATCACTACAATCTTAATATCTTCAAACTTTTCCATAAGCAAAAAAGTTGCAAACATCTTGCTACTCTATCGTTATTTCCATGAAAAGTATTCAGAGGAACTATATTCCTTATTTACTCCAATTCTAACCTTCATGGCTAAGACCATGTACATTGTAATGAATTACTGTCATCCCCTTCAAATTCCATTGATGAGATGTAAGTTCCACTTTAGCAGCTTCTCTCCTTGAACCGCTGCTTTGGGAAACAGACCCCCAAGAGGATCCTTCCCCAATCACTACAGTATTAACATGTTCAAGTCTAGGGTTAATGTTATCTTCCCTAGATATACATATAAACAGTGCATCTGTAACCATCTACCTCAAGTGGCTCTTGGGTCTTGTACAGAGTGAACATTATTGTAAAAAAGTCTAGGGTTGACTGTTATTTTTCCATTTTTTACCACTTTATCATCAACCTCAATCAGTAACCCTCTACTCTAAGTGACTCATGGACCTTGTAGCATGTGAACAATTAGTAAAAATGAAGTTTAATCAAGATAAATTCCTACTTCAAATTTTATATTTAGAAGTCTGTTTCAAACTTGACATGAAGGTTTGATGTTTTGTCTATCCTGGAGATATTAGTAAAAATATGAAATCAGAGGACATAATCTGTATTCAAAATCTATCTATTGATTTCATTTTTTAATTTTTTACTAATTTACTAATTAACTTTCTACTAATTTTTTAACTTTCTACTAATTGAGCCAATTTGTGCCTCATGATATTTATGCTCATTTATAGCCAAGGTTTTTCAAGTTTTTCAAAGTCCTATCATAAAATATTAAATAAAGGTACGATATTTAGCAAAACAAAAGAGTAAATTCATATTTTCATTCAATACAGAAAAAATATCTGCTCTATCTTGTTAGAAATGACATATACAGGCTAAAATAATGTATAAATTTATATTGAGTATTTGCAAGTAAAAAATATTCTCCAAGTCCTTGTGTAATTTATGATATTTGTCTTGTCATGTGTCACATAACTATGAGGGTCATAGAAGCACCACATGTACCACAGCCTCAGTAGTAGTTGTGTAACTTGAGCAGAGTAGCTTAACAGAACCCATCTCATTTCGGGATGGTTTTGAATCTAGTTTTTCTTCCCCTACATTGGTTACCACCTCAAGGTAAGCGAGCTCAGCCAATTAACCCATAGCTGGGGGAAGAAGAGATGGATTCATACCATTTCACAACAGTATTTGTGCAAAAATGAATATAATAAACATGGCTGGAATTCAAACTCAACTTGCTAATTTCTATTTCCTTGTTGTTAACCATTACACCACTGCACAGCTATCTTCAATGCTTGTAACGACTATTTAATAGAAAATGAAAATTCAAAGTAAGACACATAAAAGATAATATTCTTTAAATAGGTTCTTTTCAATAAAATCCCTCTATCCCTCTTTTATATGAAATTATTTGATAAAAGCTTTGATTATTTCTTAGTTTTTTGTTTCATAAATCATCAGAGAATATATAAATATCATACATCATGTGATTGATGTGTGTCATGCCTCTTAAATTTTCTACACAAACCAGATGTTGACTGCTCAATAACCCAAAGCAGACTGTGTAAATACATTTTCTGCACATAGGCTCCACACATACATCTGCTTTAACCGAAATAAAATGAACAATATATTGACCAGACAGAGGCACTCTGGCTCCAAAAAAACAAAAGCTTAATTCAGAGCTGATTGACGGCTATATATTCTCTAATTCAAACAAAGCCCAAAACTGAGAAAGAGAGACACAGCACAGACCAGCATTCATGTCAACACCGGTGCACTGAGAGAGAAACGCCACCAACAATGACAGCTATCACCAATGTCTATTTCACTTCTAATTTCACCATTCTCTCTCTCTGTTGCCTTAGCAACAGCAAGAGATAAAAGTTACTAGTTTTGTATATAAGTAAATAAATTGTACATTTATTTACCCATAGTGAATGTATTCTTCTTACTTGAATTTGATTTGCTGAGGTGGAGAAGGAATTAACCTCCACAACAGTAACAACAACAACAAGGTTCTGTCTTCCAGGTTACCTATTTCCATCCCTGCAACATGTGTTAATATTTATTAAGTTTAATTTAGTATGATACAAGGCCAAGTAGAGGAAATTGAATAGGAGAAGGTTGTGTTATGCCAGTTTTCCTCATAGGAAAGCCCTGCCTATGTTGAAAATCAGTATTCAAAGTCTTAGCTTTTATCTGAACTTGAACATTGAGTAGTGGGAAATAATTACTGAGTTGTCAAATAAATTTGTTCATTTTATTTTTCATTTATTTTAATCCTGTTTGTCTTGTTTGTTTAATGTGTATGGCACCCATGCAACAAGTTTTGGAACCTTACCCATCAAATGAGGATGACTGGTGACAGTATCATGAAGGCACCTCATTTGCTGAGGCAATTCTCTAGTAATGTGTTGAGATGTTGAGTGTTTCCCCGTGCATGTATTGAAATAAGGACAAACACATACGTAGGGAAAAATACTGGTATATCTGAAGAGGTATTTACAACAGAGAAATTAGTAGTCAAACAAACGCAGGTTAGTCAGTAACAATCAGAAAAAGTATAAAGTCCAACTGTATCTTCCGGTAGAGAGACGGAAGTGTGATGGTCACCTGATCTCCTAGAACTCTATAGAACTGTCCTATTAGTTGTAGAGAGGTCAGTCCATTCTGATGAGAAGGTGGGTGGCCCCAACATAATGGATTGGTACATTCTTGTGTGTGAGGTCATTCAATAAGTTCTGATTGAACCAAACAGGTCAGACAGAATGCAAAGAGTGCGGTCAAAGTTCCCCTTCTTGAATCATGAAAACCATTTCTGTGCAGTTTATTTTTTCTGTAATAGGGCTTTCTCTGTATATGGCACAAATGTCTCAAGTAGCTTTGGTAACTTTAGAACCCTGTTTGAAAGTGAAGGTAAGCATGTGTTGAAAATGATTATTTTTGTTTACTTGACTGAATCTGTTAACAAACATCCATAACAACAAGGACGGTGAAAAAGTCCAAATCCAATCTCACAAAAACAAAAGCCAAGAAAGTATAGAAATCAGATATCATAAGTCCTACTGTAATGACAAAAGTACGCAGATGTAGGCTTTCAGAAAGCTTTATTCAATTGAGAATACAAGGTTTGCATATAGTGTTTTTTATAGTCCCAGTAAACAGAAATAGCTCTCTCAAACAAGGGGCGATCACTCTTGATTATTCATAACACTTACATTGAAAGTTCAAGAGGCAAAATAAAATAGGGAAAAAAAAACAACTTATAGATTTTAATACAGTGAACTCACAAACCAAAAAGTCAAGCTGTCTTCATCAAGAAAAGCAGCAACTTTTACTGGGGAGGTAAATTTTGCAATTGATCATGATAGTTGGGAAGGATAAAAATATTACCATATATAATGCAGTAATTATTTAGGATTTATTATTATCATTTTTTTCTTTTCTTCAGCAAACTGTGAACAGGACACAAACACTTTTTTTTTGGGGGGTAGGCGATTTTCCTGTTTGCTACACCATTGTTATATATCTGAAAAGAAGTAAAATTTGATCAAATTTAAAAGACAATAAACAAAAGTTGTAGAGGAAGAATAGAGCTCCAGAAATCTATGAAGCACTATGGTAAAAATATTTTGTGTGTTAATTCAAATAACATTGAAAAAAAAATGAACAAATTTATCTGACAACCCAATAGTTAATCTGCTACACAGACCAATATCTTCATTATCAATGTTTAATAAGCTTAACTGCATGAAGCTAAATGGGAGAAAATTAATGAAAAAAAAAGTGTTAAGCTAATATTGCAGTTTTGGAATTCCTACCTTCTTGAAAATTAATAATTAAAAAAATCTGGCCAAAACTGAACTCAAACACCAACAACTAAAACTGGTGAGAAATATGTACCTGTCTAACCTTTTAAAAAGTCTCATATAGCTCACATAATTTATATATTAAATTTCTACAAAATGTTTGTAAAATTTTATTTCTTTTTTTGTTTGTTTTTTTTGTAATGTTGCAGAGACATCCAGAAACAGCTCCTATAATTTGCAGGATACCATCAGTGAAGAAAATGTTACTTTCATGCCAGTTGTTAACACTTCTACATCATTTTATGAAAATGATACCTTGGATAAAATGAATACTTCTAACTCAGAAAGTTAGTATTGTTTTTCTTTATCTATCTGATGTTTATCTATATTTTCAATTTATCTATATGATTTATAATATTAAACTAAGTTCCAAAATTTATTAACATATGAATAAAAAAAAATAAAATAAAACAAGAAAAGCCTTAGACATCATTTTTTTCTTTTCTTTTTATTTCTTTTTTCTTTTTCTTTGTATCTCTGCAATAATTTGGGATCATTGCTGTAAAATATAATTAATGAACTTAACTGAAAATTATATGATCACACAAAGATAGCACCATTTTCTTAATTTTGTTCATGCTTGTTACCTTACTGGATGGATTTTCTGTCAATTGACACATTTCTTTTTAATCATTTGATCCCAAGCAAGGCAATAAAGCCACTAAGATGCAAGGGGGATATTGATGTTGCATTTAATTTTTGAAGATCAAAGTTGACTGGAGAGTAAGAAACCAGAAGAGAGTTCCACTATTGAGAAGTTTGAGAAAAGAAACTGTCAGCTTTTAACTTATGGTTACCTCTAGCCATTTCAGCTGTAAAATGATGTGAGATGTCAGGTCAGGACCAAAAACATTGCAGATTCTACTTTGTATTTTATCAAGAATCTTCAAACACACAGCAGGAGAAGTACATTTAACAAGTAAAAATTTAAATATAACACACTTATTGATATTTACCTTGCTAATCTAGAGATATAAAAATGATTACCTACTTTGCATATAAAGTGACACATAACAACTGTTAGGTTGTTCATGTAGCAACAGAAAGAAAGAATCTAGACTATGGGAGACAGGCTAAAAGTGCTTATGTGTACCATTAAGGTTAACCAAAGGTGCCACGAGAATATAGACCTACCAGGTAGGTTACTGTCACTGAAGATGTATAAATTTTAACCCTTCTAGAAAAAATTTACCTGTGTATAGAGCAACCAGTCACTGAAAATGCATGATTTTTAACTTCTCCAAAAAATTACTCTATTTGGCGGCATATAAGGTGAACTTTTTTTACTAAAAATATCTTTGAAAATTCAACTGCATCTTATATGCCACATGTAGGTTTAAAATTCATGACAGTTGACTGAAATTAGCAACCTGGCAACTCCTATTAGACTTAAACATGAAGGAGCAATGGAACATGTGGATGGCAATGCCTGTTCACAACCTTACACTTACAGGAAGAATAAAAAGACCCAGCATTGCAAAAGTCAGTGAATGGGTGAAGCAAGTTTGGGATAATATTAGAGCAGAAATTGTTGTGAAATCTTTTAAAAAGTATGGCATTAGCAATGCTCTCAATGGAATTATTTAATGATGATGATAGTAGTATTGAAAATAAGTATCAGAGTTTTGATAACAAAGATGACAAATTTTATGGATTTGAAGATTAATAAAATTTTAATGGTAGCTGTACTGTTTTGTTCAATTGTAATAATTGCTTGATTTTTATTTTGTTTTCTTACTTTTGGATATAATAAAGTTTTTATAGGTTTGTGTTCTTTTTTCCTATTATTTTTTGTTTAATTGTAATCATGGTTTGTTTAACCAAAATAATACCTCATAAATATAGCCTAGGCTGTACCATTTACTAATAATTTTACTAATTTTACCAATTGCTAATTTTTTCTTGATTTTCCCTTCCCTGCTGAAATTGGGGTGCATCTTATACACCCGTGAATTTTATATGCTGTCAAATATGATAACTATGCATAGTGTGAACTCCTATTTTTTGCGTAAAGAAGGATCATAAAAACTTACACTATACTTGAATATAAATGGTACATGATATGTTCTTTGAATTATTTCTTTAGTTCTTGTACTATATAGGCATTGTTTTAACTGGAGTCAAACACCAACAACTGGCACTGATGGAAAATACATACCTATCTAACCATTTAAAAAGGTTTATATAAGTTATGCATTACATTTCTATAAAATGTTTTTAGAATTTTATTTCTTTTTTTTTTTTGTAATGTTGCAGAGGAATCCAGAAACAGTTCCTTTTATAATTTGCAGAATATCAGTAAAGAAAATGTTATTGTGCCACTTGTTAATATTTCTGCATCATTTTATGAAAATGATACCTTGGATAAAATGAATACTTTTGAGCCAGAAAGTAAGTATTGTTTTTTTTTATCTATCTGATATTTAATTATCTATATTTTTTGTTAATCTGTATATATTTTATTCTTTCATTCTAATTCAAACTGATTGTGTATGTTGGCCCATCAAAATACAATATAATAAGTTTGGTTCCTAATTCAAAGTTATATTTGTCTTGGCTTTTTATTTTCCTGAGTTACAATATGATTTCTTGCACATCCTTAGAAGATGAAATGATAAATTCTTTTTCTTTTTAAGTCAATTTAATGACCAAGCTTTAGGTCTAGCCCATCTTTGAATTGGCAAACATAAAATTTTGTTAGTGATTTTAAATAGCCATAAATGTAGAGTGCCTTGAAAAACTGACCATCCAAAAGCTGACTAGGTGGTGTCCTTTTCTGGTTGGTGGAACACAAGTGGACAGAAAGAGGAAATTATTGAGATATCAGAATTTCGCTTTCTTGAAGCCAAAGGAAGACATTGCTGATTAAGTGAGAAATTGTATTTATTTTTTTTTTTTTGCTAATTCCCAACCAAAGAAGTATCTTGAAAAGCATTTGTTGTTATACTTTGTTGAATTTGATTACAGATCTAATACTGAGACAAACCTGTGAACATAGCAAGCACCAGTTTGTATTTGCATACAGCTGATCTTGGATGTCATCATAGCTTGTGCAGAATTACATCATCACACCAGCATTCAATTCATCTGAAAAAAAATAAGTTATAGATTAAACCTAAACTCATAGACTTTGACCATTTTAATATAAATGGAATTTTTTTTTAAAAAAAGCATCCAAAAATCATTTGAAGAATATTTTTGCTGGTCATAAACATGGAATAATTTTCAGTCAATGCAAACCCAGAATCATCTTTTCAGTAACTGCTTTCTAATCAGAATTATGTTTTACCAATAATGATTTAAAATTTACAAATATTTTTCTAATTGATTCAGAAACTTGCCCAGAAGCCATAGAAATCCCTAACAGTATAAAACTGAATGACAGTGAAGGAAATATCACCTATAGCTGTAAATCTGGTTATATTCAACATGGATATAATCCTAAATCATTCTGTGAAAATGGTACCTGGACTGAAACTGACATTCAATGTGTTCCAGAAAGTAAGTTTTTATTTCTTTTATTCTCTGGAGACAAATAAAAATCAATATTTATCTGTGAAATGGCAAGTTATGTTTAGTAAGCTGTCAAATAATCTGATCTCTTCCTTTGTACTAGAGAGAAAATGTTATTTTTGTGTAAGTAAAAAAGTAAATTTTATAAGATAATGTGTGTTTGCTTAAATCTTTCCTCATCAACCTGAATACCATAAAAGCATTTGATAATGAGGATGAAGAAGTACTTCTTTCTACTAATAAACTGAACAACAATGATCTCTAACTTTGTTTATTAATTTAAAGTAACACACTATGATGAATATATAGTAAATTATACTCATATATTGTTTCAAGACTTATTTTGTTACTGAGAATTTATTTTATGCATTTATATATCAGATCATACATAGTAATATGGCCTAGTAGTTTTTTTTTTGTTTCACTTATGTTGAAGTTACATATAACAGCAATTAACATAACCAAATGAAGGCAAAGGATTTCCAACACTTGCTTTGGATATCTTTAATATCTTGACTATCTTTATTATATTAATTTTAGTCACAAATACTTTACCTTTTGTTTATCAAATTTATTCTTCAAAAAATAAATTACAATTACATTTTATTCAATTATATATTCACCATTATTTGCATTGATTTGTTGCCATTTATCAGACAACTCTTGAAGTAAAATTCTTCCTGTTTGACAAAAGTTTTTGAAATGAAAAAGTTTTCAATGAACTCTTGAATCTGGTTTTCATTAAAGAAATTTCTCCTCATCAAAGCATTTTGCAGTGATCAATAAAAAAAAGTAATAATCTGTTGGCACAAGTCAGGTTAATATGGCAGGCGGGATAGAACAGACTAACCAAGCTCCAAATTTTTTCCTCTGTTGTTCTTGTATGTAGACTTACATTGTCATGAAAGAGAACATTTTTAATCCATTGTGTATGATACTACTGACATGCAAAACTAAGGTATGTTAGTGTACTCTAAATTTATTCTTATCTGCCATATTACTGGTAGTTAGGATTGTAAGGATACATGAGGCAATTTTCTCCCTTTGGTGGAGATAAGTTGTGTGTGTCACATGAGAGCCATTTGGTGACATCACTCCATACAGTGACAAAAATGGCAGTCAAAATTCAGTTTGTTTTCTAAACAGCTAAACTGTAAGGTTGTTTTCTTTAGTCCTGGCAGAGGCTAAATCTGCCTCCCCAACAGCTTACAAGTCCATGGTGCTATTTCCCTTTGGGAATATATTTTGTCCAGATATAGAAAGAAACTCCAGCTCATAGTCCCCAATTTGGAAAAACCCAAGACTCGCTGTTTCCTGTTCATGAAATATGTCTTTGCCTGGAACATAAATATATCCAGCTTGTTTAAATATGAAGTCATAAACATAGCTTCTCCAGACACAGAAGTATCTCCATATTATATGTAAGACTCATCCTTTTAGTTTCTCCTTGCACTTTACTGTGTAGATATATCTGAGATATTATTCTCTACATAGGACACGTGTATATATGTATATATAGATTTGTGTATGTCTTAGTGATATAAAAGTCTCTCTGAGAACAAATCATGTTTGTCATTCTTTTTTCAATCAGCCATTCTGTTCTGTTCATGAACTATATCATGGATATATATCATAAAGACTGAAAAATAAAATTGACAAAGATTATTGTTTAAGGTTGACGGACACGCATGTCTTAATTGGTTTTTTGTTTTGTTATTATATCATGGATATAATAATGGCCTTAACAGGGGAAATACAAATTGGAGAATAAATGTTTCTTCAGTAGCTCTCTCCTGTTATAGGATTATATATTTGTCATTAAAATTGACTCCCAAAAGCAGAAATTACTTATAACTCAATCTAATATAATATTGATTATTATCAAGTATTATCGTCTTTTAATTGATATCAATCTCAGTTAGCCCACTCAACTGCAGAGCGTATTTCAGCAAAAAAACATGAAACTTTTCTATTATTGCAAGTTTTGGAAAGTATTATCATTTTATGCCTCCTGGTACATTTGTCCCATAAACAATATTTAGTGGACCCATGTGTGTCTGGGTGAAAATAAAGGTACACAAAACATTGAATTCAAACAAACAACAATTAATAAATATATTAACAAAACATGTTACAGAAGGATAAAAAAAAGTTAAAGTTATGAACAGTTCAATACAATCTTTAGTTTGTGTTTTTAAATTACATGCCTCATTTCTATTGGGGTAAAAGGAAATGTGTTTTGCTGATTCAAATGTCAAAGGGAAATGAGGAAATATTGTGCTGATTGTGATCATTATCGGGGACAATAACCCAACAGTATAAACTGAACAAATCTTTTGTTTGACATTTGAGATTCTTTTTTTCCTTTCTTAAAATAAAAATAAGATGCAAAAATTTTATTTATTACTAGTAGTAGAGCCCGGCATTGCCCGGGGATGTAACAGTAAGAGATAGATCAAGTATCGACCATCATAAAGACTGAAAAATAAAATTGACAAAGATTATTGTTTATGGTTGACGGACACGCATGTCTTTTTTTGTTTTGTTTTTTTTTGTTTTGTTTTTACGAATTGGTCAAACCCAAACTCAAGCAAAAACATTGTTTTCAATCGTTATGAGTCTACCAATTGAATAGAATTTTATTATAAACAATTGTCTTGTAAATGGAATTTTTAAAGCATTCTGAATGTAAAAATAAAAAAAAAAGTGTGCAAGACAATAAGAAAGACTACCTGCCAAAAAAAAGTGAAGTTTTGTTGAAATCGGTTGAAAAATGTAGGAAATCCGATCCCATATATAAATGAACACACACACACACACAAACAACCAACCTGGATTTTATAATAAGTATAACTCGATAACTCGATATTAATAAGTATAACTCGATATGAGTTGTCCCCCTTTCATTAATGCCTCTTAATCATGTTTTCAAATTGATTTCATGCAAAAACAATTGTGTTTTTCCAATTTTTGGCACTGTCAGAACCACCGCAATCTAATTTTACGTAGTCCTGTGAAGTTTTGTTGAAATCGGTTGAAAAATGTAGGAAATCCAATCCAATATATAAACGTACAGACACACACACACACACACACACACACACACACACACACACACACACACACACACACACACAATCTGCCTTTTATAATAAGTAAGATTTTTTTCAATCTTCAGTGTTAGAACTAATCAATAAAAATACACCAATTTTGGCAAATTTTTCTTTTAAAACATTTGTGCTAATGACTACTGTCAGAATACAACCAAAAGTGATAATTTGAAATGTAGTAAAAATTAAATGCTTCAAATAATGAAAACACAATGAACTTTTGTGTCTGAATTTCTAGATTGAGGAGTTACCATTATTTACCCTATTTATATGCAGACTATTGTCCTCATCTTGGTATCACAACATTTCAGCTACTGTGTTTTCTGTCCTTCATCATTAAAATGGAACTTTTAAAATAAAAGCATTGAAAAATCATTTGAAGAATATTTTTGCTGGTCATAAACATGGAATAATTTTCAGTCAATGCAAACCCAGAATCATCTTTTCAGTAACTGTTTTCTAATCAGAATTATTTTTTACTAATAATGATTTAAAATTTACAAATATTTTTCTAATTGATTCAGAAACTTGCCCAGAAGCCATAGAAATCCCTAACAGTATAAAACTGAATGACAGTGAAGGAAATATCACCTATAGCTGTAAATCTGGTTATATTCAACATGGATATAATCCTAAATCATTCTGTGAAAATGGTACCTGGACTGAAACTGACATTCAATGTGTTCCAGAAAGTAAGTTTTTATTCCTTTTATTTCTAAATTAATATTTATCTGTATACTGGCAAATTGTGATTGATGCTGATTCTTTGGTGCATCAAAAAATTAAATCTACCATATAAAGGACTCTTCTTTCTAATATTAATATTAGCTGTTTCCTTATAAGAAAACATTCATAATTCATTGACTGAGCAGCCAGCACTACTGTCAGTTGAAATTTAATAAATCTTTCTCTTAAAATAGTTTTCTCAAATACAATAGCAATTATCACTGTTTCCTGTATTGATGGGGGTTTCCTTCCTAACCATAAAATTTAAATTTACCCAAACTCAACCAAAGCATATATATATATATATATATATATATATATATATCCATGTAAGCATGTAAGACGAAAATGAATAGAGTACAGTTCTAACGTTCATAACATTTAATTTAAAAGAGGGCTCAATGCAAAGTGGATCAATATTATTTATTTTAGGATATTATACTGCAAACATGTCAAAATCACTACACAATTGCAGTCGTGCTTCAATACGTATCAATGCATCTCATCAGGTGATTGTAAATTACTGGCGAGTGAATGATTTATTTAGATTTAAAAGCAAAATACAAGCTCTTTTTACAAAAAAAGAAAAAAGTTGGGGTTATAAGGTTTGTGGGCTTTACTCTGTTCAACCAATCAAATATGACCTATGTTAAATTTAAACTAAGCAAAGAAGCAAAAATTAAAAAATTACTTTTTATAAGTGGGTCATGACCCATAGATTGGCAGCTAATGGCAGCCAGACATAAACTAGAGTGAATGTAAATGGTTACATAAATTATACAAACTAGACAATGCTATTTTCTAAGAAATAAAAACAGGGTGGAGAGGTAATTTAACAAAATGCTAAACAACTTATATACTTTGTGTATTTCCTACATAAAAATTTTTTACAGTTGATAGTTATAGTTGATAAATAAATAGCTTCTCTAAAAAAAACTAGTAAATAATTTAAACATATAGAATTATTTGGTAAATTAATATGCAACTGTTGAATAAAGATTCTTCATCTTTGTATCTAATCTACATCTTCCAAAAAGACAAAAAATGAGCATTTGTCTTTTGAATCTGAAGTCCACTCAACAGTATTTTCATTCATGATTGGTTTATTAATTTTCTCCCACAATGAACTTAAGTAAATTTAATGAATGTTTTCAATTTTTTATTAAATCATCTTTCTTTGTATTTTTCAGATGTTATAAAAAAAAAAAAGCTGTTCTATGAAAAAAATGATTTTGAAAAGCCTGGTTCACTGATATGCAGTTTTCTTAAGAATGAACAAAACTGCAGTAAGTGATTCTTTGCTGTTTGTATTTGTCTAAATTGACTACTGTTGTGTTCTGATGCTTTTATGGTATTATGCTGGTGGTGTGTTGAAATTTTGCAGGCTGTTAAATGCCTGGAGATGTTTTAGTTTGAGCCTCAGGAGTTGCGGATACTGCAAACCTTCAGTGACTAACGACCTGGGGATATAGATCTAAGGCTAAGCAGTGATATATCTAGAGTGTGTGTCACCTGTGGCAGAGTGTGTGCTGCCCGGTGCAGCCCTTAAGTTTTCTGTCTTTGCCTGAACTTTGAAATGTTACTCCCTAATTAAATCTTAACCTCTTCAAGTCTAGAGTTAGCCGTTATCTTTCCTGCATAGCCCTAAGTACTTTATTTCTTGACCTTTGTTACAGTAATAAAACACCACACAGTAACCCTCTACCTTGAGTGGCTTTTGGGCCTTGTATTGGGTGAACATTAGTAAAAAAAAAAAATCTACCTCCTTTTTAAAAGCCATCTCACTGGCAATATACATAACATGATGCTAAGAAAAAATTATTGCAATATTTTATCTTGTGACATTTGAGTATTTAATTTGATGTTTATACAGTACTGTGCAAAAGTAAGTGAGCCCATAAGATAATATTTAAAAAAATTGTCACTTTTTTCCATATAATCAACAAATCTTAAACTATATATTCATTAAGAAAACCTTTATTAAATCAATTACAACTACTTTCAAAAAAAAATTATTAAGATGGAATAAAAATATTAATTAAAAATTAAGATGTGCAAAAGTAAGTGAACCCTTACATTTAATATTTGGTGACTCCTCCTTTTGAGATTACAATACCAACCAGTCTTTCTATAATTTTTAAGAAGTTTCTATCAGTAGTGAGTTCTGATTTTTGACCATTCTTCTTGTCAAAACTCCCACAATTGCTTGATATTACCTGGGTTTTCTTCATACACTGCTTTCTTTCAATTAAATCACAGATTTTCAATTGGGTTTAGATCAGGACTTTGACTAGGCCGTTTCAAGACATCAAATTTCTTTTTTCAAACCCATTCTTCTGCGTATTTGCTTTGTTGCTTCAGATTGTTGGAGCTCTGACTTACATCCAAGTTTTGAACTGAGGACAACGCACTTTTGTCCAAAATTGCTTGGTATCTTGCTGGCCAGGTGTGGGTGTTTTGCTTCAAGCCTGATCTAGGGCCGTAGGTGGCACATTGTGTCTATTTTATCAACATTTGCTTTTTTTCTACCTACATTTATATATGTTACAAATTAAACCAAGCACAATTGACAATTAAAGGATGAACAATTTTCACAGATTTTGACATAATTCTGTTTTTTTTTGTCCAAATTCATGAATTTGCTTAGTTCATGTTTAAAAAAACACTACATAAAATAAGTTGATGCTAAAAATTACCACAAAACAGTGTTGATTTATTTAAGATGGAGTGACCTATTATGACTTGTCACTAATTTGTATTTAGATACATTGTATTTATTTTCAGTTTTTCTACTTGAATTGTTCACCCATATTGCATATGATCCATTTATTGTACATAATTAACAATAAAATTTATATTTTTATATGAATACTACCTTATGAAAATTAAAATGTAGTAGAATGGGGAGGGACCCTATATCATAGATTCAGTGGGGCTCCATGAGACCCTTGCACTGGCCCGGGTCAAAGTGTTTAGTGTCTGCTCTTCATTGAAGATTTCTTCATCAGACACCACTCAGCTGACAATAAATAACCTTTGGTAGATTTTCTAGGTATTTTTAGAAATATTTAGCAACAATTTAAAAAATATTTCAAAATTGTTTTTTAAAAATATGTAAGAGGGGGGTAACCTATAATTGCTGGAATTTCAGGCCTTGAATTTCTATTGATTAACCATCCTTGATCCTAGATTACAACTATAAAAAATTGGAAAATTAAAACAAAAAGTTATAATATATAAAAAATATAATTTAAGAAGAAAATGTATAATATCCGGAAATATCCTTCATGATGCAAGATAACTTGCTCTATACTGCCATAATTCTTAAAAGCTCTACTAACTTCTACAAGTTTACCATAAAAGATATTCATTCTATACTTCTTTAAATGGATACTTTTTCTATGTTGACCTATCAATCCCAAATTACACAGAAAATTAAGAACACCTAGTGAATTTTGTCTTTACTCCCTCTGCCAAAGACTTTTTAACCTTTAGCAATTAATGTAAGTCCTCACTTTCTCATGTACATTTTTTTCTCTACCTATCTTTATTTTTATTTGCCACTCAAAAGAATATTTTTGCAAACACCCTTATTCTTTGGACATAAATCATTGGAAAATGATTTATACATTTTTAAATATCTTGAAAAATCTTAGGAAAATCTGTTACAAAGAAAAAATATTTTGTGTAACACATTTTGTCCTTTAGGACTTCATAGTACTAAAATGATGTCTACATTGATTGATGTAATTATAAATGTGGATGAATGAGAGGGGGACACTGAAATTTTTTTTTTAAATGTGTTTTGGGTATATAGTCTAGCTGATTTCATTTAGATTTAAAAAGTTAAAATTTTCAGCATCCCCTTTCATTCATGTGCATGTGTAATCACATCAACATAAACATCACTTTATTAGCCTGATGAAATCCTAAAGGACAGTTTATCACACAAAAAATATTTTCCACTTTATCATAGATTTTTTCATAAAACTTAAATTATTGTAAATAAATTCATTTTTACTGTTTCAAATTCACACTGAAAAAAGATTTATTTTTTCTTGTATCTCTAAGGATATAACTAACTTTTTTAATTATGGGAAAATTAGTGAGAAGAATTTCTGTTTTTATTTTAAGAAATTACATGTTAAATAGAATTGTCAAGAAAAATTTTGTCTTGTCCCCAAAAACTAACCTGTTGTCCAAAACAAATATTTTGTGGTCTCCAAGAATAATGGGATGGCATTAATCTCAGGCCCAAATCAAATTTACTCCTACCTTAAAAACAAATCTAGTGTTGGCAACAAAACTAACCTGGCCGTTTGTCTCGAAGAGAACCTTCAATCGGTTGTAGACTGGGGCAGGAATTGGCTGGTTAACTTTAATGCCTCAAAAACAAAACTGCTCTTTATTACTCATCACAGAGAACCATCTCTGCCTCCATTAGAATGTCTGACACTCAACTCCACAAGAACACCTCTTTGTGACTGCTCAGTCACTTTGTCTGCTGACCTGAGATGGAACAATTACATTGAGTCAATAGTTTCGTCCACTGCAAGGAAAGTTGTCTCCCTGTGCCGCACCAGGAAATTTTTCTTGCCGGAGTCAATCCTTCAAATCTACAAATCAACCATTCACCCTTGCATGGAGTATTGCTGCCATATATGGTCTGGAGCCCCTTCTCAAGGTCCTTGATAAAATTCAAAGATGGACATACAATGTAATTGGCCCTGATCTGGCATCTCATCTGCAGTCACTCTCTTACAGACATGCCGTTGCCTCCCTCTGTCTTTTTTACAAGTACTTTCATAGTAACTGCTACAATGAGCTGCTTTCGCTGGCTCCCAGACTTCATTAATTTAAGTGTTCAACTAGGCTGTCATCTCCCTCTCACCCTTTCACTGCTGAAACTGATGAATCTAGCCATCTCTTCTACTCCAATAGATTCATGGCTTGCACTTCTCACTTGTGAAACTTCCTCCCCATTTTTGTTTCCTCGATAGGTACAATCCAACTATTCAAATGTAATGTCAATCGACATCTCCAGATGCCCTGATCTATCCCCTATCCTTCTCTTCATCCTTTCCTCTATCACTCCTCTTTGCTCTCACCCCAAGTCTCTACAACTCCTTGCGTGTTAGTGGCTTCCTTCCTTGCTTGGTGTGAAATGCTTAAAAAAAACAAATTCAGGAGATTCAAATAGGTGTGGGAAAATGAAATAAAATTGATAAATAAAATAATAATGAATAATAAAAAAAGAAATACATTTTTCAATGATGTTAAGATTAAAGGAACTTGAAATATGATTACCCCCACTTGAATTCATCAAACATCATCAGATGGCACTGTTGAATCCTATAAAAAGCAAACATTTCCTGCCTCACTCTCTTTCTCCCTCTTACTCCAATATGTAGTACAACATAGTAATTAGTTTTTCTGGTCCACTGTCGACTGAACTCTCTTCCCACTTTCCAATGCATGGCACTCACACATGCCTTCCAAAATCTCAACCTATGAAGTAAATGAGGCTCTCTCTTTGGTTGTTGCAACTCAGCACAAGGCTGACTTGAGTGTGGCTATTGTAATAATGCTTATACTGACTTAGCCTAAGTTCTGGACCAAGAAAAAGAAAACAGACATCCCATAAGCATGTTTAAACCTTCCAGCAATAAAGTAAGTAGAAAATTTCCTTTGGTTGTTCCAACTCTGTGAAAGGCTGACCTGAGCTTGACCTTGAATAATATACTTATACTTACCTACCCTAACTTCTGGACCAGAAAGAAAATGGACAGACCCAAGAAACATTAAGAACTTTGTTACACTACAGTTGATCTGAAGTGGAAGTTGGCTGGAGTAAAGAAACAAATTAGACACTGGTTTGGAGAAATGACCAAAGATTTATTTTCATTTGCAAGAAATAAAAATGTCTCTGGTAAGTCATATAGTGTAGCATTCAAATGGTATATGAGATGTTAAGTGAAAAGAAGTAGGCTTAAGTCAGCTGACTGCTTGTTGCCTATCAGTTTGGACTTGTTGCATTGATAGTGGAGTTTTTTTTTTCTGTGTTCATAGGAAGTCATTTTCACAGCCTAATGTCAGACAGGCAGTCATCCATGCTCTCAGGTAGCCTCTATGGTTAGTGTGTGTGTATAAAGTATTTCTCTCTCTCTCTCTCTCTCTCTCTCTCTCTCTCTCTCTCTCTCTCAGCTCTCCACTGTCTGGTTTCTCTTATAGCCTATATAAGGGAAAAGCACGGATATATTTGTAGACATCTGTGGCAAGTGAGAGATGTGTCAATAATATCCAGCACTGGTATATTTGTGCTTGTTTTAAAATTTGTTCTGAGTAAATTGGTGTGTAGTTAGAGATATATGTTTTCTAATAATTGTATAAATTTGGCTCTAATTTGTTATCTCTAACTATGCGTAAATTGTGTTTTTCTGCTACACAGTCACCCTAAGAAGAGAATTAACAGGCTGTGATTGAAATTCAAATTTTTGTATGATTCTGTCTTCTTTGTTTACATATATGAACACAGAACTTCACCTAAAATACACACAAACATGCAATCTTGTTAACTCCATTTAGGACTGCTTATCCAACTGAGACTTTATAAAAATTTTATTTTTACAACTTTTAAAATGTTAGCCTTGAAGAAACATTTAATTGTTTAGTTTGTATTTTTTAATACACATTCTTTTGTGAGAAGTGTATTTGTATGAAGGCCAAATGGTTTGGGTGCAATATTATTACACTTATATTTCTTTTTTGACTCAGAAGTTAAAACTCACCAAATTTGTGAAGGATCTAATTCTAGTTTATGGAAAAATCTGACCAATGAGAGATGTGGTCTCAAGCTCGAGTAAAAACTCAAATGCAGGCCTTGTGAGCCTATTTTATGGCATAAATAGAGCTCAGGTCAGTAGATGATGGAGAAGACAGTTTGACAGCAAGTGGACAAGGCAAATAAACATCAAGAAGCAGAATACATTTGACATTGAGAAGAGACCACCAGTTACCAGCCAGCTGCATAGAAACTAAAGAATTTTGAAGTTCAAGTAAAAATTCTTCTGTGGGTAGACAACAAAGAGTGAAAAAGGATTTAAAGAATTTTTCCCAAGCACGAACAGTGTGAATTTAAAAGGGACTTTTCAAATATTACTATATGTCCCAAAGACACTCATGGGACAAGTAAAAGTAGGTGATTTTGTTTTTTTCTGAAAGGTGGTTACACCATTATTTTCTTACTTCTTGAATTGTTTTTTCTTTTTGTCTTTTTCAAAATCCTTTTCTTTTCCCAAACTGTAATTTTTTCCATTTTTCAATGGTAATCCTTTTTATCAGAAATTTGTTATCCTGCTATAATTGGTGCACAAAAGGAAATTTTTGTGTAAAATTTGTATTTGTACTTTTTTTCATAATTGTGTAATAAATGTTTTTCCTTTAAAATTTTTTGCAGAGGTTGAGGCTTATTTTGTATTTTTGCACCTATTGTGACTTGCTATTCCAACTAACTTTTTTATGTTTGACACAAGAATGCAGATTTGGTGGGAACAAAATTTTTATAACTTTGCTTTAATTCTTTTGTCAGGTTGTGTGGCAACAGTAACTCTTATGAAGTTGATACCAAATCAAAAGATTGCCCTACATAATTATGCTAGTTTTCCAACTACATCAGTGTGGGAATGTGTGAAATCCTGTCTGGAAAATAACAGTTGCTTATCTTTAGAATTCTACAAGACCAAAAATATGTGTTATCTAAGCAAAACATCAAGTTACTTTGTGGACAGCATCATTGTCATGAAAAAGAAAGATGTTATCTATGGAGAGAAGACATGCCAAAGTAAGTCTTGAAACATTTTTTTAATACAATCAATTTATCTGGAACCTTTCTTCTGAAAGATATGATATGAAAATGTACATGTATCAGAGTAATAGTAAGTGAATTTTTAGTGATAAGTTTAGTTCTGAGAAGGAACATTTTCAGACTCATAAAATCTTTATTGACAGAATCAATCATATATAAAAAGTTGTGGGAGGGGAACAGTTGGAGAGAGAAATACAATAAACACAAGTTACAACTTACGTTGAAGTCTTAATGATACCTATATGCTCAATATTTAAAATTAAATTCTTATATCTAATGTATCTAAATGTTTAATTCAGTGTTATCTCATTTATTTTTTTTTTATTGTTTTTAATTGTACCACATTCTATTAGTACTAATTTTGTAAACAAGGAGAAGTATTGCCACAATAATAATTTAATGTTTCAAAGTTATTAGTATTTAACTAAGTATCAATGTATCATACATGTATATAATAGCTTGAAATAAGCAGCAAAAGGATTATAGCCATTCTAATTACAAAGGGAAGCAACTCAGTCTGGTAACTGCCAAAGTAAGCCCTGCATACAAAAACAGAGTGTTCTGAATCTCAACCTTCTTTTCACCACAGAAAGTAGATATATTGTTTAAGCCTGGACATGAATTTACCATAGAAGATTCTGAAGTTAGTGCACTTTCAATAAATTTTGCCTTAATAAATTACTTTCTCGTTTAATCAAAACTGCCTTCATTATGTTGAAATTATGGTCAGACTTATTCCAAACCTAAACGTTTCTTCGATAATTTTGTGAAGTGTCATTATTATTCCAAGAATTTTCAGTACTATTGAATTTATTCTATATGTTGTTACAGCAGCATTTCAGTTGATCTATAATACAACCTTCTTCAGATGTACAATTTGTAACAAAAGAGAAGCTTATACAATTGTTTTTTGAGATTGATGCTTAAAAATGTTTTTGAGTGAGCAAAGCATGTAGACTTCACTGAGAACCATCCTTCTTTGAACCTTGTGGGTCGGCATTACAGAATCATAAAGAACTGTATCAGTCCACAAAGCCAGATTTCAACCACCCAATCAGAAAGCTTTCATGACCAGGATGTATGAAAAAAAATAAACAAATAATAACAAGGAGACGAAAATTTCACCATCTCAAAAAATAGTTTGACCAACCAATCAGAAAGCTTTCACAACCAGGATATAAGGCTGCAAGCCAATATGAAGTAGAGTGGGTTTTCAAAGCGGAACTATAGATGTATATATAACCAGTTAGAAAATCAACCAAAACCAGAATTGATAAATAAATTTTGTCCATTCTCTGAAGTTGTGGTCATCATAACATACCCAGAAATGAAATACAACATTTGCATGACTAGCTGGCTACATTTAAAAATATACATCCTTTCTTTCTCCACCCTTTTCAGCATACAACTGATACATTTGAAAACAGATATACATTCCTTCACGCATACTGTTAAGTAGTTACACAAGGCCAATATACACCCAAATCAATTATACTGATAACTGGTAGGAATGGATGTTGCCATAAGATAAACAACTCATCCATAACTGATAACCTCCTAACCACTATAAGTGAAATTTGATGGGCAAGACAGACCAATGCTTTGAAATTCTCTCTTTTCCCTTTTTGATCATATTTTTGGTGATCATACCACCCCATGCATGGCAGTGAAGCCACTAAGACACAAGGGGTTACTGAGTGGAGAAAAAAAAAGAGAAACATTAGGGAGCGAGAAGAATAGAAGATTAATCAAAACAGTAGATAGCGATTGACATTGCATTTAAATTTTTAAAGACTGAAGTTGGCTGGAAAGCATAAAGCCAGAAGAGAGTTCCACAAATGAGAAGTGTAAGAAAAGAAACTGTTAGCATAGAACTTACAGTTACATCTCAGCCAATTCAACAGTGAATTAATTTGACCTTGCCCCCAATCTAGTACTGCATTTAAATTCATAAAGTCTAGGTACCATAACAAAGAGTTCATCATAACAACTACCATGAAAGTATTTATAGAAAAGGCACAGGGAAGCTACATTACAATGGTAGAAAAGTGACTGAAGTTGAGGCATCAGGTCAGACCAATAATATTGCTGATTCTTCTTCTAAATATACAGTGAGAGCACTGGACCAGATGTGGCACCAATTTTCAAATTATGGATGAATGGTAGACTTATAAATATGCAAGATAGATTCTGGAGAGAAAAATTATCTAACACAATTCAATGATCTAACTTTCTTAGCAGGATACCTACGAATGGATTCAACATAGTCTTTCCAATACATATCAGATGAGAATGTTAGCTCAAGAAGGTATAATGAGTCATCCTCATGGAGGTTAGTGTCAGTCATGCTGATGGGAGGCAGGAAGGGATCTTTCAGAAGATTAATAGAGAGAAGTTTCATTTTGGAAGCATTAAAATTAACAAGCCATTCTTTGCCCCAATTAACAACAAACTGTAGGTCATTTTTGAGATCACCTGCCAATTTCACCTCATTGAACTGATCAAACTTATTGAAACAGAAGTAAATGATTGCATCATCAGCATAGATACCAATGGCCATAGAATGGGCCAGTTAAAAAAATTGTGGTAGTAACATAAGCAACAAAAAAATATGATATTCCAAGCAACTCTTTCAATGACTTTCCTCAATCTGGCTTTCTATGCCCTGCAATATATACACTCTTTAAATCTGGCAATCAATGATGCTGCTAGGTGTTGCCTGGAAGTAACTATTTTCTTTAGTTTGGGTTCAACAGATTTATAATTTTTCTACATCGATTTAGTGTTGGCAAATTCTAGTTTGCCTTAGTTCAGATTTAACTGTTATGCCATTGAGTGAAACTTGATAGTTTGATGCTTTGAAATCACTAAGATATCATCCTTATTGATTGTATAACTGAAGAGGGCTATAGAATGTGATAACAACATAAACAACAACAATAAAAAAACAGACCAAACAATTGTTTCAATGATAATGATTCTCCTCAGAATTATCATTTATATTATAGACAGTAATAGAAAAATACAGACAGCAAGAAGTCTCAAGAAACTTTAAATATAATCAGTTTATTCAAAAATTAGGAAAAAAATAATGTTGTTTATGAAAAATAAGTACTAAATATGCTTTAACAAATTTCTTATTTAATATTATTTTTTTTCTTTGCAAAATTCTTAGGTACAATGCCAGATAAGGAAGTGGCTTATCTACCTTTTCATTTGGAAGACATTCCTGTCAACACCCTTTTATGCAATGTTACACAAGAAGTGACATTTTGTGGTAAGTACAGATTCCAACAATCAACTATTATTATTATGGAAATTCTAAGCATTATTTGACTCTCATTAGAAATAAACTAACAATTTCTAATCATACTTCTCATTCTGACTTAGACAAAATAATAATAATAATCATTTTTATCTTCACATCATTGATATCTTTGGGATAAAGTGACAGCAAATCAATTGTTAATCAGGATTTTTTCAATCCTTTCTTTAGCAAGTTTTATTTGATTCAGAGATTATGAGCATGATTTTTACTGTTATATACATTTATGAATATCCTAAGATTTGTTTAGTAAAGCACAATGTGGTCTAGAGCAGTGATTCTAAACGTGGGCTCTTAAGCCTGAAAATGAATCCAAGAAATATTTTAAATGGGACTGGAAACACCAGGAGAAATCATTAGTCAGGATTTATATTTTCTACTACATCTTGCTTTTGTAAGTAAAATGTATTTTCTGTTACATGGAATTTCTATTTGTGCTTATGTGAACCAGAAATATTTTTGACACCAAGGAAGAAAAGGTTGAGAAATAATGATTAGAAAGAAGTGTGATAGAAAGATAATGTTGCACCAATCTTTAAAGTGGCCAATGCCTTGAAAATCAATTCAAAATTCTGGTCTTTTACTGGGGTTCAAATACTAATCACTGGTGCCTCTATCAAATATACAAGTATTTCAGCCACTATGCTAGGTATTTACTAAGCAGAGATTAGTCTAGCACAAGCTCACAAGTGTGAGTCACTCAGTTAAAATCAAAATCACTACATATATATATTCAAACATAAATTGTTAAATATAACAGACAATGAATGTCTATTATGTTTTATCATGAGCCATTACAAGTGTCGTATAATGGCTTTAGTCTCAAGAGAAAACAAAGAGAAAAAATGCAACCCACATTCAACAAAATTATATTTCAAACCAGCCACAACATATTACAATGCATTTAAACATATGGTTCTATTAACATTTCTTTCTCTCACGTGGTTATGTACGATGTCAGAACTGCATTACAAATTTGACAGTGAACATCTCTGTTGTAATGTCCATGTAACCACTCTGATGATGGCTCATGTGAGCCAAAAGCTTAGATTGAAAACCATAATAAGAAATATCTAAATGTTGCCCAGTTTTTGTCTTTATTTTCTCTTGAAACTAAAGCCATTATATGATGCTTGGAACAGCTCATGATAAAACATAATAGACATTCATTGCCTGTTATATTTAATAATATATGTTTGAATAATGATCTGCTGCACACTAATATATGTATATATGAGAGAGAGTGAGAGAGAGAGTGGTATTTTCTAAGCTTGACTTAATTAAGTCTAATGTATCAGAAATTTCAACTATCTCTTCCTTATGTTAAATATCTTCTTTGTATGTCATGCCTCATCAGGATGTAGGCTGTCCTTTTTAGCTCTAAATAAATTCTGTCCTTTCGTTATTTCTCCTAAACTCTTTTCTGCCATCCATTTACTTAAGCTCATCAAGTATGTTATGTGTTTTTTCCTTTGTTCCTCTTTCCCTCAATCTGGCCCATGAGTATCAGATTTTCCAAGCCCCCCTTCCTCAGTATGCACTCCAGAAATTTCAACTGTTTCTTCTTAATGCTAAGTATAAATTTCCATTTTGTTTCTATTTTCTTTGAAACCTTGTCGTTGCTTACATGTTTGGTCCATGGTATCCTCAACATCTTTTTGTAAAAGCACATTTCTGTTGCTTTAATCTCTTCTTCATCTTTGAGGAAATTTTCTAGCATTCACTGTCATATAGCAGGACAGATATCATGTAATAGTTCATTACTATTTTCTTTGTTTCTAACAAAGTTTTTCTATCTCTTAATACTCTGCCTAGCTTTTGGAGTGCATCTTTGGCCATTCTAATGTGCCTTAGAATTTAAGTGTCACATTTTCTGTCCTTTGTAGATACTTCCCAGATATTTAAATTTTTCTGCTTGGTTGATATTGGTATCTCTGATTTGTAATTTGCAGTTTGGGCTCATCCTTTTGCTAAAAACCATACATTCTGTCTTCTTGTAGTTTATGTTTAGTCCTTTCTTCTTGCTTTCCTTCACTACATTGTGTAGGAGTTTTTGTAGTTTTCTTTCCATGTCTACTATCAACACTGTATCATCTGTATATCTTATGTTGTTAAGATTTTGACTGCCAATAATGAATCCTGGTAAAACATCTAATTCTCTTAGAGCTGCCTCACTGTATAGGTTGAATAAGTCCGGTAAGACGACACATCCTTGTCTTACACTCCTTTCTATTTTTGTATATCTGCAGAACTCATTTTCTATAATGGGTGTAAATTCTGGTTGAGGGTTTTTTTCATTAAAATATAGAATTCTGATATCACTGGAGCAATATGGTGTTTTGAAACAGCCTAAATCAACAATTTACATCTGCTATGTTGATGATATATTCATATTAAATAAAAACACATATTAAGTAAAACATCTGAGAACAACCTATGAAAATAAGTCAGTCATCAATTTCAGATATGAACTTGTGTATGTGTATTGTTTTTCCAAAAATAATAAGGTAGGGCTGCCTTAGTAATCTCAAATGCAGAGTAAAAAAAACCCTAAACCAAAAACGCAGATTGTGTATGTGTGTGTCTGTACGTTTATATATTCGATCGGATTTCCTACATTTTTCAACTGATTTCAACAAAACTTCACAGGACTGCATAAAATTACCTTGCGGTGGTTCTGACAGTGCCAAAAATTGGAAAAACACAATTGTTTTTGCACAAAATCAATTTGAAAACATGATGAAACATGATTCTGTCGTCAGAATGAAAGGGGGACAAGTATAACTCGATATGAGTTATACTTATTATAAAACCCAGGTTGTGTGTGTGTGTGTGTGTGTGTGTGTGTGTGTGTGTGTGTGTTCATTTATATATGGGATCGAATTTCCTACATTTTTCAACCGATTTCAACAAAACTTCACTTTTTTTGGCAGGTAGTCTTTCTTATTGACTTGCACACTTTTTTCTTTATTTTTATATTCAGAATGCTTTAAAAATTCCATTTACAAGACAATTGTTTATAATAAAATTCTATTCAATTGATAGACTCATAACGATTGAAAACAATGTTTTTGTTTGAGTTTGGGTTTGACCAATTCATAAAAACAAAAAAAAAACAAAACAAAAAACTAATTAAGTCATGCGTGTCTATCAACCTTAAACAATAATCTTTGTCAATTTTATTTTTCAGTCTTTATGATGGTCGATACTTGATCTATCTCTTACTGTTACATCCCCGGGCAACGCCGGGTTCTACTGCTAGTTGATAATATATTAATGAAAAAATGGAAGAATTCAAAAATCTGCAAACAAGTGTAAAAATAACTCTGTCCTCAATTTCATATACGGACTCAACATTTTATGCATGATTAAATTAGGAACATGTAGGAAAATGTTTATATATCTAACATTTCTCATTTATTTTAGTTTCATCAGAAATTTTCCCAACTTTTAGCATAGAACTTATGATCATATCTAAACATTTCAACTGTAAAATAAATCTTGTTTTTTTTTTTTTTTCATAAAAGTACAAATTCAGAGTTAATAACTCTAATTTCATGAATCTTCTTCCAGTTTTCTTTCAGCTTCTTGCTTCTTGTTGATGGCATTGTGGACAACTTTTAGTTTTTCTTTATTTTTCTTCCTATTTATAATAGTTGTCAGTTTTGCCCTTGTGGATACTGAAACACTTCAGTTTTTTCCTGCTTGTGAATTTTACTGGTGAAAGTCAATACTCAATTTTTTTCTGCCTCTCATCAACCAGCTGGTCTCCTTCACATGTGAAAGCTAAGTCCCTACATCATGCCCACATTCTGTTCACATACTCTGTATTAGCAAAGTCAAATTCATAGCTTCACTAATCCACTCCTGGCTTCTATTGATATCACCACTGTGACCTCAGTCAACAACCCAACACACATATCTACTTGAAACTCATACTCCACTGAAGCCACCTCCTTCACCTACATTTAGAGATATTTCACTCACATCCACTGTATTGACAATACAAAATAATTTTATATTTAAAATTCTTGTTTTCATTTCCTTTCAATTCACCAGCAGTACTGTTGTTTCATTTGTTTTTCCAAGCTACCATACTAGTGTTTATAACATAAACTTTTACATAAAATTTTACATATGTATCTTTTTCAGAAACCATCAGGCTTGATTTTGATGGTTTGGTTAGGTTTGTTTATTTAACAACATAACAGCTCCTTATGGGTCATTTAATGCCAAAATTTTATTTTCTTGTGAGCTTTGGTAATTTTTTTCCAAAAACATATTGCTGATAATTTGTTATTTTTTTATTTTTTTATGAAAATGTACTGCTAGTAATTTTTTCTAATGTATTTTTATATTTTCATGCATGTTTTTGGGGGGTTCACTACTTGCCCATAGCTGGATCAGGGTAGACCTGGAAACAACAGCAATTAAGAGGTGGCTCCATGCTCCTCAAAACTTCACAATCAAAGACCTTGCTGCTGGATGTAGTTTATCCTCATACCCATTTTATATTCAGTCATTAATTATTATAATTATATAATTTCCTTTTTATTATAAATTTTTATACTTTTTATCAACTTTCCCCAGAAAATATTCCCATTTTCCTGCCTTTAGCTATGAAGAGGTAAACAGCATTTAATCAAAATTAAATCTTTGATTCATTATGATTATAATTGTTTTCTTTCTCAAACTTTAACGGTTTCATGTAGATAGTGTAGACAATGCCAGAAGTTCAAAACAGTTCATAAGTTTTGTGGTCCCCAAAATCAAATTAAAGATTGAGGGGTACTATTGGATGTTACTGAATTAATGCCATAGCTTGAGTTAATTCTAGGTCCAAATTACAGCTCAGTTAATTTCTCAAACTTCAAATTCAATTCATCTCTTTTTTTCCTTCTTGTTTCATCAAGCCTTTTGTCACAACATGTGGTTCATGTTGTTAGGAATTAATCAAGTGAGTTGGCATATTAGCAATCATTTTCTGTTTGCTATATATTTTTCTAAGAAAATTTATTTCTCTTTCCTTTTTGATTGTATACAGTGCTGTTCAATAAAAGTGACTCACCTGATTTTTTTTACTTAAAATTTTTTTCGCCTATTGTTTTGGGGGTCAAACTAATTTTTAATCTTACTAATATAAAGACCCCTTCCCAACCACCTAGTAAAAAAGTTTACTCACCCTAAGGTATTCTATTGATAATTATAATTTTGGATATAAATGAGATTTAGGGAAAAACTCTGTGCAAAAAAAGTGACTCACTTATTTCCTGCAACTAGTAATCAATAGAAACATAACCGAACAGCTTTAAATAAAGAATAATAGAGGTACAATTTATTTATAATAGGTAATATAGTTCAAAATATTTAATAATCTATTGGTCCTCTTTTATTTTGAATAACCTTTTCAACCCTTTTCGGCATTGACTTGATTAGGTTCTGGCAAATCTCATCTCCAAACATTGAATTCCATTCGGATATGAAATTCACAATCAAATCCTCTTTGTTGCTCAACTGCTTTCTCGGGAGTCTGTACTTTATAATGCTCCATAAGTTTTCTATGGGGTTGAGGTCAGGAGATAAGGGTGGCTATGTCATAACACTCACCTGCTTCTCATCAAAGTATTCCTTCATCAATTTTGATTTGTGACAGGGAGCATTATCCTGCATAAAAATGAGCTTAGTGTGGTCGATTTGCACCCTTTCAGCAGAAGGGTGCAGACAAGACTCTAATATTCTCTTGTACTGCTCACTCCTGAGGGTCTTTTCAATAGGTTTTAAGAAACCAGTTCCATGAAAAAAAAGCATCCCCAGAACATTATACTGAACGGATGCTTGACAGTACTTACTGCTAAATTCAAAGTGCTTTCAAAGCTTCTTCTTCAGATTTTAGATCACTTATCCTTTGAATTTAGCTCAACTTTCGTTTCATCGGAGAAGAGAACATTCTTCCAGTCTTCTATGGCGAAATTTTTGTAATAGTGAGCCCATTCAAGTCTCTTGGTTTTGTTGGCCTTGTTGACTTTGCTTCATGTACAAGATTTGTAGCTTTGTTCTAACAGCCACCGACAGACTGTTGAAGAGGCAAGACTAACACCTTGCTCTTCGCTTAGACTGGCTGCAATTTCTTGACTAGTTATAGTCTTATTCTTCACAACTTCTCTCTTAATTACCCTGCCAATTCTATCATCAATCTTTTTCTTTCATCCCCTTTCCTTCCTTGGAGCAGGAGTGGCATCATTATGTGCTCTAAGGACTCAAGAGACAGTTGATAACGAGGTTATAGCAATTTCTGCAATTTCTCTCGTAGACTTGCCTGCTTTTGAGAGGGCAATAATAGATGCCTTAAATGGTTCTGAGTGGCTATTTCAAGCTGTTATTATACTGTATGAGGCTTTCTGGCATTTAATTTAAGCTGTTCTAGAGTTCTCTAGAATATTGTTCTGAGTGTATTGTAAAATAGTTTTCAATATTTTGTCAAAAGTTCCTTAAATTTACCAGTTTAATCATTAGAATGCGATATCTGAGTCACTTTTTTTGGATAGAGTTTTTTCCTGAATCTCATTTATATCCAACTTTATAATTATCAATACAATACCTTAGGGTGAATAAACTTTTTTCCTAGGTAGTTGGGAAGGAGTCTTTATATTAGTAAGATTAAAAATTATTTTAACCCCAAAAACAATAGACAAAAAATATTTTTAGTCAAAAAATCAGGTGAGTCACTTTTATCAAACAGCACTGTACCTGTAAAAGGATATAGAATGGGCGAACCAAAAGATCTGTGGTAGGAACATAAGCAACAAAAAATATGATAATCCCAGCAACTCATTTAATGACTTTCCTCAATGTGGCTTTCTATGCCCTGCAATATACACTCTTTAAATCTGGTAGTCAATAATGCTGCTGGGTGTTGCCTGGAAGCAACTATTTTCTTTGGTTTTTGGTTAAACAGATTTATAATTTTGCTACATTGACTTAGTGTTGGAAAATTTTAGTTTACCTTAATTCAGATTTAACTGTTAAACCATTGAGTGAAACTTGATGAGAGAGTCAGACTGATGCTTTGAAACCACTAAAATATCATCCTTACTTATTGTATAATTGAAGAAGACTATAGAATGTGGTAACAACATGGGCAACAACAACAAAAAAAAAACAAAATATAATTATTCTCCTCAAAATTATCATTCATATTATTTTAAACAGTAATAGAGGATTTTTTTATTCAGTTAGCACACTTAGCTACAGTCACTACTCTCCGCCACCTCACAATCATGGTCTCATGGTGTCATTCAAGGCAGAATAGTGCAATGGCTTGACAGTTACTTTTTATATTTGGTGTGTTTTTGAAGTTACCATCTTCTAGCCTTTGACTAAAGAGGCAGGACCTACAAAGTCAGCAGGTGGTTTGAATTCAGAGTTTCCTTCTCCTAGATTGGTTACACCCAATGCTATAGGACTCAGTCTGTCCTGCTATTTAACCCATAGCTGGGAGGAAGAGATGTATTTTTACCTTTCACAAGGGTATTAGCACATAATAGAGGAATAAAGACAGCAAAAAGATTACTGAGCAAATTCTTGTATTGTTAAAAGTGGATAAATTTCAAGAAACTTTTAATATAATCAATTTATTCAAAAAATTGCTAAATATATGTGATAAATTTGCTTTAACAAACTTCTTATTGAACATTATTTGTTTTTCTTTTAAAATCTTTAGGTGTGGTACCATCATGGAGAAATTCATCTATTAATTTGAGTCTCTATATCAACACAATTTTATGCAGTATTACACAAGAAGTGACATTTTGCAGTAAGTTATTTACTAAGACATTCAGGTTCCAACAATCAACACATGCCGTTAAACAAAATCTAATCAACCAATCCAACTATGAACAATTATTATTATAGAAATAATAAGCATTATTTGACCCTCAGAAGAAATAAACTGATAATTTTTAAATGTACTTCTTATTCTGACTTTGACAATATAATAATAATAATCATTATTATTTCAACAGCATTGATATATGGTGACCATTATTGGGGATAAGGTGACAGTAAGTCTTTTTTTCAGTTAGAATTTTTTTCAATCCTTTCTTTAGCAAGTTTCATTTCATTCAGAAATTATGAACATAAATTTTATTGTTATATACAGGATTTCTCAGTTCTTTGAAGACATGTCTTTTAATAGCTGTAACTTTTTTTAAAACTTGTTCTGATTGTCACCATTTCTCTGAAAGGAAATGATAAATATCAAGCTAACTAAGAAAATGTAAAGGCATGCTGTAATCATCACCTTAAAGATAGCATATTGCTTTAGAAATTGTTTACATCCTGAAAGTTGCATAGTTGTTTTTTGTTGAAGTTTGCAAAGAGCTTGAAGACAATGATGAGGATTCTACAGCAGTTGCCAAATGTCGAATGCTTGCTAAGGGTCCTAATGCCATCAGAACACCCAAATTTGTATGAAAGGTTTGAAAAATTATCGATAAAAACCACAGAATGACAATTAAAATCACTGCTGATGAGCTTCAAGGCTTCAGTGCACTCTATTGGAAGAATTGTGCATGAGAACCTTCGATAGAAGTCATATATGATCCAGAGAGGCCAATTCATGTTTCCAAAGACAAAAATAACCATCCGATCCATGAAAAGCACTTGTGAAGCAAGTTGAATCATCAAGAGCTTGCTTTTTCTCTGATGAGAAAACTTTGTGATTAGAACCAAAACATCAATTGTAGGAATGACAGACAGATGGTTATGCAGAGACTCTAAAGAAGTTCCAACAGTCATGCACACAAAGTTTCTGGCAACTCTAATGGCTCTGGGAGTCATGAGCAATGAGGGAACTGCCATGCCTCCTCACTTCTTTCCTCAGGGCTTAAGGGATAATGCTACTGACTATAAACAGGCATTGAAGAGACTTATGAGGTCATGGATAGAGAGTATGAGCAAAAGATGACCGTACAAGGCCAAGACAACTCAGGAGTGGATGAATTACACTCTCTATGATCAATCACCCAAGTACATGGCCTCATAACTCCCCAATAATAAATATGTTGGACTACTATGTATGGGGCATAGTCAAGAGAGAAGTCAATTGTCAAATTCACGCAGATCTCAAAGAACTGAGCAACCCTGTACATTTATGCTTATTAATATTTCCTAAGCTTTGTTTAGTAGAACACAATGTCATCTAGAGAGAATAGAAATAGGGATAGGAAGATAGTGTTGCACCAATCTTTAAAGTGGCCAGTGCCTTGAAAATCAGAATTCAAAATTCTGTTTTTTTTTACTGGGATTCAAACACTAATTACTGGTGCATAATACAACTATTTCATGCAGGCCAGATAAGTATTTACTCAGCAGAACTTAGTCTAGCACAAGGTCACAAGTGTGACTCACTCAGAATCAAACTCATTACAGTAGTAATGATCATCTAGACTAGTTTCTTAATCATTACTCCCTTGCAAGATGGGCAAGCAGGCCTTATATTTTATTATTATTGTTAAAAATAATAAATATATATAGGTATTTTCTAAGCTTGCTTTAATCAAGTCTGAGGTCACATATGTGCAGTGTCCAGTGAGGACAAAACTCACTACACTGAACTAGACTAGATCTTTCACCAGTATTCTGTTTAAACACTTATGCAGACTATATATTTCTACCATTGTTAATAATAATTTATATAGGTACCTCCACTAATTCATATGTAAAGTTTAAAATGAATTTTTATAAATAAAAAATCTTTCTTGAAGCTTCTATTTTTAATTTTAATAGATTAAATTTAATATTTCCAATAAGCAAAATGTTTGACTGGATTTAAAAAATTATTTTAAATTGACTGGAAGGATTTTTTTTGATAAAATAACTGATTAGCCCCCTTATTAGTAACCTTTCATCACAATGTTATTCTCTGTATTAAAACATCTACCAAAAATAAAATATACTTTTCTGAAACTTTATTTGAAGAACATTAGCTGATTTAAAGTATAATTAAGCTGATTTGAAACAACTGTTATTTACTTTAAGTTTAAAAAATTTGATTTTCTTAACCTGACAGTAGCTGGTTTTTTAAGGTGTTGGTGGGTTTGACAGATTTGATATTTATCTAATGAGTGCTTTAGGTGTTAATGTTCTATGAGTGCTTTAGGTGTTAAAAAAGTAATTGAATTAATATGTGCACCTTTTATATATAATTTTTAAGTACTCAGTAATCTTAAAAATTTAAGAAAATATTCCCGTAATCTAATGTTTTATTGAAATTTAAATACTTTTGGTTGTAAATTTACTATAGTTATTGCTCTTATTTTCTGTTAATATCATGTATGGTTGAACATAAAAAAATTTAAAAAATCAGCACATTTATACATATTAAAAAATTCTAAATACTTTTAAAAATATTGGTGTTTGATAATCTTTAATATATTTTAGTTAGAAAAGCAATTAAAAGCTTTTGTAATTAAATAATGTTTTAGTTTTGCATTTTATTTTAAAAATCAGAGCAGATTTTTGGTAAATGGTGTTTTTCATTGAAAAAATAATTAATGATTTACATTCTCAAAGGAGCCCTGCTTTTAACTAATACAGTACATTCCTGGGTTTATAAGACAAATTGTAACTGGAGATGAAACTCAGCTTTACAAGCATGATTCTGAAAACAAAGCTTAGTGAAAGTGATGGTTAGTCAAAGTTGGGAAGGATCCAGTCAAAGCAAAAGCATGCATGTCAGGAAGAAAAGTTATAGTAACATTTTTCTGGAATGCTGAGGGCATTTTCCTAGTTGACATTTTAGAGGAAGAAAAAGATGGTAACATCTACTTATTACAAAAATGCTTTGATACGATTGGTTAAACATCTAACCAAAAAAGCACCATAGAAAGCTTCATTAAAGAATCTCTTTCTACCATGACAATACCCCTGTCTATTTCTCTTATAAAACAAAGAGATTATTATGAGAATTTTGATAAGGAATCATTAGACATTCATCTTGAGGTCCTTATTTCCTAAGATTAAAATGTTTTAAAGGTACCCACTTTGAGTCCATTAATGACATAATACACTGTTTTAACATGGTTAAATTCTACGAATCCTGAGTTTTTTAAGGATGATATAGCACAATAAGTCTTTCAATATAAATTAGGATCAACTCTATAACATGGGTTGCAGAGAATTTTATCACTCTGGTTTATGTTGCTGGGAATTAATCAAACCAGTTAGTATATTAGGCATAATTTTGGGTTTGCCATGTATTTTTGTAAAAAAAAAAAATCTCTTTGCTTATTGATACTGATTGTATAACTAAAGAAGGCTGTAAAGTGGGTCAGCCAAAAAAGTTGTGGTAACAAGAAAAAAATAATAGTCCAACCAATTCTTTCAATACCATTATAAACAGTAATAGAGAAATAAAAACAGCAATAAGTTTGCTGAGAAAATACTTTTATTGTGGGAAGTGGATAGCTTTAGGAAAACTTTAAATATAAACTGTTTATTCAAAGCTTTTTAAAACTAATTTTTTTAATGAAAAATATGTGCTAAACTTGCTTTAATAAATTTCTTATTTCATATTATTTGTTTTTGTTTTCAAAATTCTTAGATATGTTACAACAGGCAGATAATGCATATCACCTTAATAATTTCGAAGCAGTTCCTCCTAACTCACTTTTCTGCAGTATTGATCAAGAAAAGACATTTTGTGGTAAGTTATTTACTAAGGCATTCAAATTCCAACAATCATCAGTTATTATGAAAATTATTATTATTTGAGCATTATTGAAAATCAAGTGATAATGTCTCATTTCTAAACATATTTCTCATCCCAACTTTAACAGAATAATAATAATAATTACTATCATCTTCATAAAACATCAAAATAATTACTATCATCTTCATAAAACAAAGAGTTTTGTTATGAAATTGTCAGTGTCATCATTTTCAAATATTGTGTCTTCACTCAATGATAATGGCATAGGAAAGCTGAAAATATTAAAACATTGGACAATTTATGTTTAAATATGAAATGCAAACCAAGAAAATGGTCCAAAATATAGAAAAAATCATTAAGAAAGAATTTTGTTAATCTATTGTTATATTCCGTGCTAATAGCCACTCTACATTGTCGCCTGATTCTCTGTCCTCTTCCACCTGTCCTGCTCCAGTGTTGTCTCCAATGGTTCAAACACGCAGCTCGGTGCCCGGAGGGAGAGCTCATCTGTGATGTACTTCTCCCTCCTCCTCTTCCTGGCTGCTGAAAACGTGTCGGTGGGCAGCTGAGGACATGGGCTAGCACAATCAAGGATGACCTAGCAGTACTATCGTGTTCACAAGTAGTTGGTCTTTGACGATGGAATCGCAATTGGCTCGCCATTTTGTGTGACCTGGCTCAAGATCTGCGGGCGTGGATAGCGATGATCTGTGATGCTGTACTTGCTCAGGAGGAAGCCGGTTCAACCCGACCAGGGTGAAAACCGATACAAGTCAAAGTCAAGTCAATAGGAATATATACTTGAAAAAACAAGGTGGATAAAATAAATAAAGGTTTATTGTAATGAACCAGTACAATAAGAATAAAGGTAACAGTTATGCACAAGGTCGTCGCAAGTTAATCTAGTAGTGAGTGCTACTATTGGAAGGTCGGTAGTTCTTGCATAAGTCTGGGTCATACTCAACAGATCCCAGCTAGTATAATTAGCTACCCCTCACGAGGGTTGCATGTGGTACAGGGCCAGTTTAATGTGGCTTCTCCGAGCCCATAGGCCAAAAATATTCCCTTTTTGAACCCACATAAACTGGTTCAGAGGCAGTCTACCTCCCTGAACTAGACTCTGCCCTTCAGCAGAGCCTCATCCGGGTTCCTCTCTGCCTGTTTAGCTGGAACAGGTCGCAGCTAGTCTCTGTAGTCTGTTGACTTACAGATACTTATTCCTATAGTGTAGTCACTCATGGGGGTGACAGGTTATTCGATTACATCATCTATAACTAAATTTATGAATGTGAGGTGGTATCAAAAAGTATCAGAGGCACAGTGGAGTAATGGATAGTGACTTAGATTGAGACATCAAAGAGCTGAGTTTGAATTCCAGTCAAGTTCATTAGATTCACTTATGAAGCTATCCTTCCCACCAGCTATGGGTAAATAGCAGGACAGATTGTATCCTATAGCTTTGGTTGGCAACCATTTTAGGAGAAAGAAACCTGAATTCAAACCATCCTGGATAGAGTTGGTCTCTGTCAGGCTGTCTTGCTCAGGAAACCATTGTTATGACTGCAGTAGATCGGGTGCCCCAATGACCCTAAGAGGTTACAGAATTCATGATTATGATCATAATCAAAACGTTCCCATATCATTATCCCTTGGCAGACTATAATTGATTACATTCATGGGAGAGTGATGATGGTAATAATCCTCAGAGGTGAGTTAAAAAATATTTTCCTCATTTTCTGGTGTTTAGCTAGTAATTAGTCATTGTGAAAATGTATCATTTTGATGTAACACTTGATCAGCATTGAAATGTATGTCACTCAAAATCCTGTTTTCAACTCTATGAATGTTCACCAAAAGCTTGATGTAGTATTTTTAGTGTCTCAGAAGCAGATTTGCTGAGCTTCATACAAAATTTGATGCAGGCATAAAGATCACAGAGTATTACAAAACATTGAATAAAGATCAAACAACATTACAAAACATTGAATAATAACTAAACATGAATAGATAACATAAGCAGGTAGTGTAATGGATATCAACAAGCCAAGTCAAAATTCTGGGTTTGTCTGTTGTGTTCACTTTTGCACAAATACCTTTGGAAAAGGCATGAATCTATCTCTTCTCCCACCTGCTATGACTTAAATAGCAGGGCAGACAGGGTTCTCTAGCCTTGGGTGGCAAACAGTCTGGGAAAAGAATTAAAAACCAGCCTAAAGAGGGATGGGCTCTGTCAGGTTATCTTGCCCGAGAGACAGCCACTGTTGCTGCAGTAGTGCATCTATGATCTTAATGGGTTATGGGACTCATGACAAGATAGCATGAAACCTATTGGTAGACTGACTCAATCGGCTGAGTACCAATAAGTATTAACTACATGTGCATTTCTGTTGAATGGTATATACAATGGGAACTTTCCAATATCACTGTGGATGTGAGGGTGGTGTAATGGATAGCACTTCAGAATGAGAAACTGTAGAACCGAGTTTAAATACTAGTCAGGTTTATTACATTCACTTATGTGAAAATACTCTGGGGGAATGTATAAATCTATCTCCTTCCCTCAGCTATGGGTTAAATAATAAGAGTTGTACCTGGAAAAATTATTTTTATTTTCAAAAAATTGTTAATGCAATATTCACTTGCAAAAAAAAAAGAATTATTCATATAATCCAAAAAGATGTTTCATTTTTAAATAACCAACAAAGGGTTGATAAGCCATAAAAAAACAAATCAATCAATCAGTCAATAAACCAATTCATGTACATTTTTGTGTGTGTGTGTGTTTACACATATTCTGTTTACTTTAATATGTTTACACTTACTTTTTATTTAGTATGTTTATTTTAATATGTTTACACATATTCTTTTTATTATTTCTTCTCTTTTTCAGGTTGTATCCAAAGAGAATTTTTATTTAGCATAGCAATTAATAAGAAAATCGCTATGCATAATATGCATTCTTTCCATGCAGATGACATCAAAAAATGTATCCAGGAATGTCAACATAGACAAAACTGTTTGTCAGCTGAATTTAAGGAGGACAAGAAAGTCTGCCAACTTAGCAAAACTGCCCATTACCTTGTAGATAATTCTATCTTTCGTAATTCACCAGACACTCAATATATTGAGAAAATATGTGCTTGTAAGTGATATTATGATATTATGTATTGCATTTATTTTACCTGTTAATATTTTATTACAAGTTTTTCATTCTGTTTTTCTCTGGTAGAAATTTATTATAAATCAAATAATACTTTCTTACAATTTGTTTACAGTATGTTGAGAATTATGTCTCATCTTCCAGTGTGACACCAAGCTGTCGGCGCGTGGTCAACTCCCTGTCACAGCGTGAAGCTGTAAGCTTTCTTTACTGTCATTTTGAAGTTGACTCTTTGTCACTGCCACCTGCCTGTGTCCCGGTCATTCGGTGGTCGTCGCTACTTAGCAAAATCCCCTGGTCAACCAATATGTGACACTCAGCCATCCAGGGTTGAATCCAGTGGTCAAGGCACCAATATGTGGCACCAGGGGTCAAATATGTGGCACCAGGGGTCAAATTCTGGTAGTTGATGTTAACAGCTTCACCAGCTCTATTGTTCCCAGCTCACTTGCAACGTCTGGTTACTGAAGTAACTGTTTCGATCTCAATTCTAACCTACCTACGTTGTGACTTTGATCTTATGTAGACAAGATCAATCAGGCGTCAGGCCATAGAGCAAGCTGAGTCCAGATTAAAGGTGGCACTGCACAAGCGCAAAGAAAAAAAATAAATAAAAGAAAAACCCAAGAGGTTCAAGTATGTTAGGAAATAACAATTCAACTTTATCCTTCTGTTATATACAGGAGTGTGTTTTTCTCCCAGCCCGTTTCCTACGAAATGTGACACTTCTATGTTTCAAGCAAGTTGGTCCTCTAAGTCAATAGGTTTAATTTTTAAGTGCTGGCTTAACTTTGTTCATCAGTATAACTTGCTATGGGTAGGTTAGGCGAAGTCGGAGGTCGTGGAATCTCTCGGTCAGCTTCTGCAAGGCAACACTCTGATTCCCACTACTTGAACTGTCTCTGACTCTGTCCTTAGCTGAACTGTGACTTAACTCAACTTAACTCAACTTCTCTGCTGAACGACCCATCGTTGTTCATTTATATAGATACCGACCAAAACCTGGTGTGTGGGCTCGACGCAGCCTGGAGTTCTCGGTAATCTCTATTTCTAACAAGAAATCTTTGTTGTCAGGACAGGAAAATTGATTATTTCCCATTTTTGGAAAATTAACCACTTCCCATTTCAGGGGGGTCTCCGTCCTTCATGAGGGAAGGTCGGAGGAGAGCTATCCTCTTAGACTCTTTCTCTCACACATTGATATCTCATACCAATCCCTTCAGTGGGCATAAACGTCTTCTCCAGCTTTCTCATCCATTCACTTCCGCCTATCACCATGCTACTATATGACCAATGATCTCTCGTCAGTGTGGGTATGGCTAAACTGACCTCCTTAAAATTATAATCTAGAATTTTTGTTTACAAAATTCTTCTTTCCGATCGGTCAAAAATTTTTACAATATCCACATTGCCAATTAAATTTTTATCATATATTCTCTTTTTCCTGGGCCACCCAAAAGTCACTTATCTAGCACTCTTACCATCTCATTAATCACTGTCAAAGTTTGCCATCTGGTTCTTTACGCTAAGTTAGCTTGATAATGGAATCCTGGACTTGTTAAGAAATTAAATTCTTTTATCTTGCCAAATCTCAATTCTCCACTGCTACATTGCTATTCGATGTCTTAGTATCTGTTGGCAAAGTAAATGATAACAATCCTCTCACCTATATCGAGACAATGCCAAAATTTTATAATTGACACATTGCTTCTCTTCGTCTGTACCCCCCAAAAAAAATAAAATAAACGATATCTTGGAAAGATAATTAACATTGATTCTCCCTGCCTGTATCGGCATCCATCTCCAGCTGAAATTTTTATGACTGGCACGTGTTTTGGCCGATAATTCCAGATTTGCCTTTCTTTCTATCTCCCTCAGTAAGACATAAATTAACTCGACAGGACAAGACCTAACACGTGGCTTCTTCCCGGATTCACATTCTTTTGTGAAAAGTATCTTTTTTTTCTGTAAATAGAATTAAAATCCTTCTTTTTTTTTTATCGATCATTCTGTCTTTTTTTCACTTTAAGAAGGTCTATATACTGTTTTAATTTCTATGGTTAATTAGTCAGCCAATTACCATGGCTAAATATTGTCACACCAGTAACAAATAAACTTCTCCTACCAGATATATGTGATGAGAATACTATATAAATATAAATGCTATATAAATACTGTGTGTGTTTGTGTGTGTGTGTCAAAATTTCAGATATAAATAAAATATATCTGTAAAAGGAGAATATGAATAAAAATATATAATACATAAATTTATCCCATACTAAAATAATTTAAATATTAATTGCATAAGAAATTCAACACCATTCTTTACTCCCTTTTATTTATTAGAAATTAAATTACGTCACTTAGCATCCTCCAGAACTTATCTAGACTTTTCAGTTAACGTGATGAATTTTTATGAGTGTCTCTTACATTTAAAAATTTTGAAAAATTAACAACGTTTTTACTTTTGTTTATAAATACTTGTTGCAAAAAAAAAAAAAAAAAAATCACCACATTTGCCTTGTTATAGTCCATCAGAGGACCAAACATGTCAGCTAAGATAAGTTTTCCTTTTGTCTTTATTCATCAAGTCTAGAAAGTCAAATAGTAACAATTGAAAGAAAAGTGAAAAAAGAGAAAAAGACAGATGGGGTTAAGGAGTGGGTGTAAAATGAAAAAAACAACAACAAAGACAAATAATCATAACATTCTACAGATACGCACAGATGGGTGCATACATGTGAATGTACACACATATACATGCATGCATACACTATGAAAAAAACTTGTATCAATGAAAAGTGCATATAAAAAAGGAACATTGAGAAGTATAAGCTTTTGACAAGTGGACAGAGTAATTCATAAAGGGTTTGTCTACAAAACTCTGGAGTCAGGATGCTGAAGGTAACATCAATCAGCTAAGTGACAAACCTTTTACTTGTATTAATTATATCTATCTATCTATCTATCTATCTATCTCTCTTTCTCTCTCTCTCTCTCTCTCTATATATATATATATATATATATATATATATATATATAAGCATGTTTGGTTGAATAATCTGGACATATTATGTCTATTTTTATTGTGATCCTCTCAAATTATCTTATCAACTTCATAATGTTGATATTAAATTCATTAAGGAAGGCACCATAGCAATTCACCCCTAAAGATGATCTCAGAGGAGATTGAAAGTACTTGTAAAATAAAAATGAAAAGAAAAAAAAATACTACAGCGCCTTCCTTAATGAATTTAATATCAACATTAAAAAGTCAATAATAAAATTCAAGAGGAACACAATAAAAATAAATAGACATGTCCAGGTTATTCAACCAAACTTGCTTGAATGAAGATATGCTGCCTAAAATACATATATATATATATATATATATATATATATATATATATATTATGAAATGGACTAGGTCCGACAATTATTTAAATATATTTTCTGTTTATACATTATTTTTGTAGATAAAAATACTTAAGTAAATGTTCTGTTTATAATAAACAGTATTAACTACATTTACCAGCCTGAAAGTCCAAGAAATTTCATAGAAAATATGTGTTCTCTGACGGGAATCGAACCTGTATCCTACACAGAACTGTCATATGCTATATGATTTAGCTACAGAGGAAGTGTATGGTTAGCAAAACCAAATTTCTTATATGCTAAGACATTCCAAATGCTAAGATACAGCCTATAATTAGCTAGTTTTTTGGAAAAAAAATATATTTGAGGATTTAATAGCTTACCGTACTAGACAGTCCAAGTCACCAAATCTAAAGTGTCTTTCTTCCTATCACAACAAATTATCACATTTTGGACCTATTATTAAATATTTTTAGTTATTGTTAATTAGATTTTCAATAGTTTAGCACAATGTTATAACTATTCAATATCGTACTTGATGACGCAAGCCACACAGCATCTCAAGATTTCAGTATTACACTCTTTTTATACTCTTAGTCTTATTTACTAAAATAATAAAAAGGAATAAGAACTTTATAAAGTCATCTGCATACTATCAGTTACTCAAGCTGAATGTTAGAACATTTTCAAAGCTAAAGCTCATAGAAAATGGTTAAATTCATTATCTGGAATTTGGAATCATACATGTTGCTATCCATTGAAAAGGAATAGTTAGATGAATTGAATGCAGCAGCAATTATTGGCAGATATGTACAATAATTTAGTGAACACAATCGCTTTTAGTATAGTGAACTACATGGAATGTTCTATTGTGCTTTTGAACTATCTATAAATGTGCAAATCATGGAGTAATCTGTTTAAAAATATCAACTAATTACTTAAAATTAAAAATAAATAAAAAGTTCAATAATGACATTCTGTATCTACTGTCAGTAATGTGTACAGAAATACATATTTTTTCCACAAAAGTTTTAATTGTATCTTTTTTCCATAATTTTAAAAGAATTTTATTTATTCCTTATGAAAATTAAATGATAGCATGGTAGTTGTGTGTGGGTCTCCTGGCAACCAATATTTTTTAAACCAGTCTGCCATTGTACACAAGTGTTACAATGTAATACAGGCAAATGTAAATCAACCATGACCGTCTCACTGATTATCTTTATTCAATGGCAAGGGAATTGTCACTTCAGTCCCCATACAACCTTTTTGTGTGCTTTTGACTTTCATTATTACACTCTTTTAACTATTGCTTTCTCCATTATCAACTCAAAACTGCAGTATACTAAACATAATCTCTGACAGTATAAAAATGGCACTTTCTCTTCATCCATCTGTGAACATCTTTGTCTTCAGAGATTTTAATGTGCATTATAACATATGGCTTAAACATTCTAATGTTACTGATATTGCTGGTATTCAGACTTTCAATTTTTCCATTGCTCAATCCCTTATTCAAATCATGGATTTCCCTACTCATTTTCCTAACAAATCTGAGCAACAGTCTTCTTTACTTGATTTATTACCTGCTCTCCAAACTCTTGCAACACTATCCGTTTATAATTCTTAGTTCATGAAAAAGAAAAGTAAAGATACAGAATAAATATTAACGCCTTTTTTAAAAGTCACTCATTTTTGTTCTTTTCTTTCATCATGAGAAGTGCCAACTTGGCAAAGAAAGTAATAATGATTGATTATTTAAGCAGACACACAAATACACACATATTTCTTTTGTTTTTGGATGGATGAAACTAGAAGGGGAAAACAGATAATCAAATCTAGTTTCAATGAAATGTTTTTTTCATTTGTCAAATTTCTTCAAAACTTTGTTGTGATTCTGTATCCTATCTTATACAGACACACACACACATATATATAAAATAACATTCATGTATTATTTACCTTTTTACAGTGCCTTATGATTTTTTATTTCAAAATGAGTGGCTGCTTTTTAATAACACGCTCAAGATCTATTGTTCTTTTCATGTTTTTTGAAATGGAATGCATCAACATGCCAACAGTTTGTGGAATAATAGGTCAGGGTTAAGTGTAATTGACAAAATTATCAATAGACAATTGACAAAATCCTCATCTAGCATAAATGACAAAAATCTTCAAGCAATATGAAAAGGACAGGGCAAAATAATACTAAACAGACAATACACACACACATACATATGTATATAGTAATAAAACAAAATGTTCACAAAGTAGAAATACAGTCAAGTAGTTATGATGTTCTGATTTCAAGGCAAGAAAGAACAAAAAAGTGGGAAATGAAAGCAAGAATTGTCCATTTTTATTAATCTCAACATGCATCTGTAGGATTTGTCTATAAATTTGGGGAGGCGATGTTCTTAGTAGTCATTCTTGGAGATTGTAGGATTATTAAAAGCATGATTGGGTTAGTGAATTTGACTAAGTGTAAGAACAGTGATGACTAGCCTTCATCATTTTTGATCTTGTGTCATATTTCATACACCATGAATAAATATTCATTCCCATAGATTGTAACTAACACAGTTTGGAATAATTTATTTTATTCATTAAATTATTCATAGATTGCTATTTCCTTCTCTGTTTTTCTTTATCATTTCTCTAATATACTAATGTTTGTACCATTACCAACCATATAGAAAAATCACTAAGCATGAAATATGCATGGAAAAAAGTGTAAATAAATAAGAAAATTATTCTTTTATATGTATTAAAAATCTTGTTGTTTAAAAGAATGTAAAATACCAAAATTCTATATATGTAAGAAAAGGATTATATATATATATATATATATATATATATATATATATATACACAGAGAGAGAGAGAGAGAGAGAAAGAGAGAGAGAAAATTAATGCAAATAAAAGGCTTGTGACTTAGCAGATTGATGTTATCTTCAGCATCCTGACTCCAAAATTTTGTAGATGGACTCTCTGAGAATCACTTCATCCACTCATCAGGGGGTATCAGCAATTGACTGTTTATACTTCTCAATTTTTCGTTTTTATATGCACTTTTCATTGGTGCAAGTTTTTTTCCATAGTTTATGTGTTTGTTTGCATGCATGTAGAATGTTGTGCTTATTTATCTTTTTCGTCATTTTTTTCACTTTACATGCACTCCTTATTAGTTTTTAAACTTTTCTCTCTTTTCCTCTTTTCTTTCAATTGTAGAAATTTTGACTTCCGGTTTCACAGTGGTAGCTTCTAAATAACATAATGTATGTAATGTTTATATGTATATATATGTTGCAAGGGTTGTTGTCGCTAATAGTAGTATTTGGGATAAACTTCTACTGTCTATAAAATGCTCCCATATCATGCATCTCAAATAACCTCTGACAACCAAGTCCAGTTTCAAGCCAAAGAAGAAGTGAAGGAGGTCTACTGGCACCTTATAACTTGCTGTTTTGAGTAGATGGAGCTTATTACCTCAGAAAGTGGATTGAAAACTCTGATTTTAAACCTCTGTGGCTTTGTGGCCAAACACTGAAATGGCTATGGAAGTAGATCCAAATAGAAAATCCAAAGTGAAGCCCCAAAAGTGGTTAGCTATCAACATTGACAACCTTCCAACAACTTCTGCAGCTAAGCTGGGCCCAAATATAATGCCCTGTATTATTTTGGATTTTGTATATACAGCCAATAGTGGGGTGGACATGTGGTCTGTGTAGTGCACAGTCCCCATACACCATTGCCTAGGTCTTCACTCTAGAGAGATCATCCCAGTTTCACCCACAAAGGACTGAATTTTGACCAAACAGGGAACTACCTTTATTTTGTGAGATAAAAGGATACCTACTATATATGTGTAGTGAATTTTGGTAATAAAGAAAAAATAAATAAACCTGTGAGCAAGGTTGCATTTTAGCATTGATTGCATTTGATCCTGGCTACATCTGAACCCATGAGATATACAAGCAAGTTTTTCTGAATTTCTTGGGTGAGGAATTATCATTATTCATATTTGGGATATATTGTGCTCATCTTTATTGTCATTATCATAGCTTTTTCAGCTGTTGTGCTCTCCTGCTTTCATTAGATTCTTGTCAATATAGGTAATCATCAAAGAATTTAAAAATGAACACTTTATTTAATCTGTTCCTAAAATATTAATAATATATAAGAATTAATTCACTTGAAGAATATTGAATAAAATAATCTTATAATAATATATTGTTTAAAAAAGCATTTTTAAGTTGATGTTGACATATACAAAGTTTAAGTTGATATTGACATATACAAACTGATACAGCTAAAAGACAATCAATTGCAGCACATGGCTGAATGACCTCGCTTCATCCAGCCTACAGTCCTGACTTTTCATCTTCAGATGTTCATCTATTTGGGCCCATGAAGGAAAAATTCAAAGGCAAGTGGCCAGTGGTCCTCCACTGAATATGAGGTGAAAAGAGACAACTTTCATATGGATAAGAAAGCAAGCAACCAAGAAGCTTCTTTTAAATAAATATTAAAAAGAACTACATATCTTTTCCTCACTATTCTATGTTACTTAGTTTCATGCATGTGGCAATATACCCTCATTCATAGGTAGAATATCATGATTGAGAAGGAAGGAGGTTATGTTGGATGCTGAAGCATTTGTGTTTCTTTTGTTCTGCTTTCTATGCTTATGTTATTAAATCTTTTATAATTGAAGAACAGTCATTACTTTTGAACCAACCCTTATAAAGATGTTCAGTTTTTGTATAAATTTTTTTATTCTGTGACATAAAACTCTATCTTGTTTAAAATTTGTATAACATAAATAATTCAGTCTTTTACTTTTGTTGCAGAGTTATTAAAGGGAAATAACCAGACTGATTTTTTTCTGTGGAGCTGATATCTTGAGGTCTTAAAATACACCATATTATTTGAAGAGTTTAAAAAAAACATAAATGAATATATTTATATCAAAATATCCTTGTGAAAATATATGAAGAGCTGTTGACTGTAATTTTAGACACTATAATCTATATAAATTCAAAAATAGAGACCTTGAAAAGCAAAGCTCTAAGGAACTGTTTTATGTAAATCTAATTATTTGATAATGACCTTATTTTTCTGGATGTTCATGTATCAATAATAAAAAGAAACTTAGGCTTGAACCCGAATATCATAATCTAGTGCTTTGCATTTTCTATTAAAGAACATTTCTGTATAAACAGAAAAGAATAAATCATAAAAAGTGTTTTGAATTTTTATTGATATTACTTAATAAAAAGTATTAACAAGAATTAAAAAGATTTCTGTGTTTCTGTCTGAATTTCTGGCATGAGGAATTATTGTTACTTACATACATGTTATTGTCTTCATCTCTGTTATTGATATCACAACATTTCAGACACTGGGCTCTCTGGCCATCATCAGGTGCTTGTTAATCCAGGTAACCTACAAGGTAGTTTCAACTGAATGCTTTATTTAATCTATAGGGGTAGATTGTTCTTGTTCAATCCCTTGGCAACACAGTGTGTACTTGGACTCAGTGGAAAAAATAATTCATCACCCACAAAGACACAGAGACACCCTGTTGGAATTCAATATCATAACTGTTAAGAAAAATTGATTTAATCAGGGGAAAATATTAGAGTAATCTGGAACATTTACTGGGAACAAATTGCCTACATATGGAGAGAAAAGGAGTTGAGTTTCGTGTGAGTTTTATGATCAGTTTTTTACACAAAAAATAGGAGGTTGCTCCATACACTGGTAATTTTTCTGAAAAGGTTAAAAATCATGCATTTTTGGTGCACTATACACAGGTAATTGTTTTCTGTGGGGGGTTAAAATTCATGCAAAACGTTCAGAGGTCACACTATACATGAAATCAGCTAATATATAAATACCGAGTGTAACACCAAAATTGTCCATCACACAAAATGTTTAATATTTAAAAAAAAACATTAAACTAATTAATTTTCTTTCAGATAAAACATTTAGCCATCTTGACACTATCTGTTGTAAGAATCACTGAAAAACCCTTGGAGTTATTTAGTTAGAAAGAGAACAGATAAAAATTGTTTTGTGTCAGTTCCAGTATCTTCCCAAATGGGCAATGGTGAGAGGAAAAAGATCATTCAAGCCTTCAGTAATGGTACCAATGTGCATACTTTGGCTTCCATCTTCAAAGTCCATACAAGAACCATCAAGAGAAAGGTGAATAAGGGAATAGTAGAGAAGAAAACTGGATCAGGAGGTTACAACAGGAAGAGGGATCATCATTTCAACTTAGAGCTAAAGAGATCAAATAGAAAAGATCAAACTCAGTCCATAAGACATTTGGCATATGAGAGATGAGTTTCAGCTATAGCAGTCCAAAGAGCAATGAAAAAAGACTGGGAAATGAAATCATATGTAAAACCTGTGAGGCACCTTGTTACTCCAAAACAGAAAGTTAGGAGGTTGGAGAGAGTGAATATCATCTTGAATAAGTTAGAAAATGATCCTGGTATAATATATATATATATTTGAACTTTATTTCAATCCTTCATGAACTTCCACTCATTAGCTATGATTAATTAATGATGAACATGTCATTTTCATTTATGGTCGATTTCATCATAATTCTTCTGTTAAGCTTGGAGAGTAATTATACATTCTTATTGCTCAAAGTAGAGTCCACTAGTGTTGTAAAAACTTTGGAGAATTCCAGTAAGATATCTTTAATCATTCCTAAGAAACAACAGTTCAAAGCTTAATCGAACAAATGGACAATTTTGCTGTTACACATGATATATACAGTATACAAAAATAGAAAGAGACATAAGGCAAGGACACCTCTTCTTATTGGATTTATTTAAACTTTACATTGAGGTGATTCTAAGAGAACTAGAAGTTCTAGCAGGATTTATTACTGGTGGCCACAATCTTAACAACATAAGATATGCAGATGATAGTGTGTTGATGGCCAACACAGAAAGAAAACCGCTGAAATTCCAATGAAATATAGTAAAGAAAAGAAGGAAGAAAGGACTAACTATCAATTGTAAGGAGAATCTATGTTCATTAGAAAGAGAGACAACTATAAATTTGAAAACAGAATCAAGCAAATACAGAAGTTTCAGTATGTGGGAAGTATTATAACACATAATGGAAAATGTGATACAAAATCTGAAGATGCATTGGAATATCAAAAGCTGCCTTAAAAAACTAAACAAAGTATTAAGAAACAGCAAAATTTAATAAGAATCAAAGGAAAGAGTGCTGAACTGCTATGTAATATTAACCTTCTAGATGGTAGTGAATGCTGAACAATTTCTTCACAAATGCAGAAGAAAATTGGGGCAATAGAGATGTATTTCTACAGAAGGATACTGAGAATATTATGAATAGAGCATATGAGCAATGTGGCAGTTTTAATGAAAATAGGAACAAAAAGGACACTTGTACATAGAATCATTAAAAGACAGTTGATATTTTTGGGACTCATAATAAGGAAAGAGAGTTTGGAGAATTTGGCACTCACAAGACATATTGAAGGCAAGAAAGGCAGAGGGGAGGAGCAAATAACCTACATAATGAACTTATGCATAAATGGATGGCAGAAATAGACTGGGAAGGATTGTCTTGTATGGATCATGTCCTTTCAGTATGTTAGTGATCATAGCTCTCTACAATTTCCTATCCTTTGTAACTTTTAGTGAATTTTGTGTTTTCACTATCTCTCTTAAAACCTGTTCTGTCAACTATTTACACGAGCCTGTTAGGTAAGTTATGCACTGTTTTCCTCTGTTCCACTTGCCTTCAATATGTCCCGTGAGTATCAAATTTTCTAAGTCCTCTTTCCTCATTATGTGCCATAGAAATTTCAACTATCTCTTTCTGATGTTAAGTATAAGTCTCCTTTTTGCTTCCATTTTCTCTAAAACTTTACCATTGCTCACATGTTCAGTCCATGGTATTCTTAGCATCCTTCTGTAGAACCACATTTCTGTTGCTACAAGTCTCTTCTTTATCTGTGAGGAGATTATTCAACATTCACTGGCATATAGGACAGATATCGTGTCACAGTTCAGTACTCTTTTCTTTGCTTCTAATGAAATTTTTCTGCTTCTTAATACTTTGCTTATCTTTTGGAAAGCATCTTTAAATATTGCTTAGAGATACAAAGGTAAGAAGTTATAGAAAGCCCTGATCACTCATATACTGAAGAGACATGACACAGAACAAGAATCTGTTGTAATATCCACTATAAAATTAAAAGTAATATTGTATATGGTATGTTTTATTATACTTTGAAGAAATATTGAAGCTATACGCTGACCCTAAATTCATAGTTAATCTCAATTCCCACTTGTTTTTCTCATACTCAAAAGACAAAAGATATAAAATGCAAAGTACTAAGTTCTTTCTTCAGAGAATATGGCATTTATTACTAATGGCTTATTTTGCTTCATTTTTTCCCTAACACTTCTTATCCATAACTGTTTATTTAACCTGTGACTCATAAGTAAGATTTATTAAACAAATGTGTCAAAACTTCAATCCACTCTTATTATAAAGACACAGCAAATACCAAAAGTATATACTGCAAGTTACCAAAGATGAAAATCAATGTAGTACATTTCATTATCATCAGTCCAATGACCAGATGTGGCTGTAAGGTTGTTGCACAGATGAGCACCTGACCAGCTCTCTTCACATCTTGTTAGGCATTCATTCATGCATCGCATATCTTGAGCAAAGTAGATCTGATGGAGACTATCACTCTAACTTAGACCAAAACTGATCTTCTCCCTCTTGAAGATTTGCCTTGGTCACAAACATGTGGCTGTTGTTTACATCAGGGGAACCCTTGATCTTGGCCATTGACTTCAGTCTAGGAAGCTCTACACCCAGTGATGATGTGTCATCATTGTTCTAGATAAACTGCCAGTAGTTCGGTCCTGGGTGCAAATTTAGTTTGCAGCTGGTCAAAACTTGCTATAGTTATTGTCTCTCAGCTGAACTCCTCACTAGGGGAAACCTTAGAACCACTACATATGGTGTTGCCCATATAGTTTAGTGCCAGGAGTAATAAACTAAGAGATTTTTTTTTACTGAACAATGAAGTGGATTGCCAATGACGATGACAACAACAGAAAAGTACAAGAAGAAAAAAAAAAGAAAGAGGAAGAGAGAAAAATGAAAAGAAAGCTGGAAGGAGAAGAGTCTACAAATTTAGAGAGATATATGGTTATCTTTCAATAGTCATTTGTGAAAGTTTATCTCAAAATTAGAGGTATTAACCCTGATTTTGAACTTTTTATAAAAATATGAAATTTCTCATTTTTGAATATCAGTTTGTACAACAGAACTATTATCTAAAAGAATCCTAATGATGCCTGTAAATTGCCATCCTTCTCAGCTCCTTCAGACAGTCAAAGGAATTGAAGTAAGTGAACATATTGTTCATAATAATTGTAATCATTTTTTGAGCCCAACAGAATTGTATTTAGAATTTGTTATCTTGCCTAATTGTTTAGTGCACAAAGGAAAATTTTGTACAAGCTTATTTTGTAAATATTGTATTATTATTTTTAAGTCTTTTAATAAATGTAAATTTCTTTCAAATTTCACACTGGAATAAGAGTCTTGTGATTTTTCATTTGCAACATTAATAATACTTGACATAAGAGATTTGACATTCTTCTTCTCCTATCCCTAAAAATCCTTTTATAATGAGGAAAAAAATTGCTCAGTTCTCATTGGCACTTTCCCTTTTGAAAATATCTTAAGCACTAGTTAATGACCTAGACCCACTTCCAAAAGGGATGCACTGCTTGGGAGGATGGATCTGAAGCTCAACTGCATAATATTAATATTC